TCCCACCACCACCCCGCCCTCCCATGACCGCAAAGCAAACATTGCCGGCTTCCGCGCTCCGTTATGCGGCCATGAAAGTTAACCCTTTCAACGGCGTCTGCAGGACCGGGCAAAACGTTATTTTCTGCTGCGTCTTTGTCCAGGCTGTGCGCGTGTCTCCGTGCAGAGGCCAACAGGGTCAATCACTGGACCCGAGCGTCTTTTACTCTCGACCCCAACACAAAGAAAGCAACTTTGTCCGCATTAATAAAGGGCGCTGAGCTGAAACAACTGCATGCGTTTAACAACCATTTAACCCACCCTTGGCGATTGGATGAATTGTGATAATTCGGTGTCGCGATTAGACGCCGCTGAAAGGAATAAAAGGTTCTGGGTTTTTTGTCCGATTTGTATTTTGCCTCCTTTGCATTGCTATCAATTTGTCTCATCTGCGTTGTCCGTCCAATTTCTCACATTATAATAATTTACATACATATTAAATCATCGATTCTCATGCACACACACATTTTCCTTGAACTGAAGAATTAACTTCAATCGACGAATCACTCCGTGTATTCTGGTCAAGTGTCCCTTATTGCAGAAGTCATCATCACCATCATCCTCACCAGCCACGCTCAATTCACCTCTGAATAAAGGCTTCTCCAATCCGTAGCCCTCTCTTCCAGTGCTTTCCGCGTAGCAATCTGCGTGAGCTGATATCATTGCTCCGTCTCTGCGTGGGACACGTCCCGTCGGGCGTGTGGTTGGTTGCCTCCTTCTGACTGCCACTCTGCTGGGAGCGTCCAGGCACAGGTCGCCTGCACTCGAAACAGTCAATGCGGCGAGTACAATTCGTTCTTTCATCCGCGCGTTCCTCTCGCCGTTCTCTCGGTGTCATTCCGAGCATGCGCGAATCTGAGCTTCTTTATGCAAATTTGTGTCACGTGTTCCTCTTGCCATAATCAATGCCGATCCACAAGGTAAGGTGAAGCGCTCTCCTCTTTGTGCGAACCGCTTGTTGACTGTCATCGTCACGTGCAGTCTTCCAAAAGCTCTCCGCTTCTTTATTTGCCCGCTTTCATGCTGGACTGCCTTCGATAACTGCCCAATACTCTTAGGTCCCCCCCCCCCGGCTTTGCTGTCGGTGGAAGAGGAGGGGGAGTTGGGGGGGGGGTCCAGGTGATTGGGAGCTGGGTGGGGGGTAATTCAGAAAATGTTCCTTGGTAAATTGAGTCCCTGGCTTGAGGTGTACACCACCCTCTCGCCTGTTTTCCAGTTGTGTCCATCAACGGTTGTTTTCCATCTCTTGAGTGAACCCGTTGTGCTCGGATCTATCTTAAGCCCCACTTTCCAGCCCCCGTTGGTTATAAGTTATTCTTCCATTTCCTGCGATGCATTCCCATCGGACGTTATAATTACGATGTCATCTGTAGATGTGATATTGTCAATGTTATCTCCACATATTTACGCCCTTGTTTCTGCACTCCAATTCTCAGAAAGCGTCTCCCGATGTCACTTTGTATAGACAATCTCTGTGTACTGTTGTGGAGCATTATGAGTGACCGCGTATATAAGTGGAACTCCCTTTTGGGTCTACGCCTACAAATTAATCGTTAGTTGAGTCCATCAGCCTATTGTCTTCTTTCCAGACCAATATTATCCACCAGCATTGGCATCAGCCAGCCAACTCTAGAATGCTGTCCACCTTCCGGATCTCATCAGCAGAGCCAGGTTTGCTTGAGCAATCGCTGCTGGGATGTCCACGTGCTCATGGCAATAACGCTCCATCTAAACTATAACGCTCCGTTCAATCCAAAGAAAAGGCAGTTGTTGCATACACGCTCATTATCCACAAAGACTTTCCTGGACATGTTCAGAGGGCCTTTGTCCAGCTCTGTGCAGGAACCATCGGCAATCAGCGGCGTATTTAGTCACGAAAACAAACTCGCTGCCATCGCTGCGCACCCATCGGCGACAACAACGTCGCGAACTAGCCACGCAGCAAAGTGGCAGAACGTGGAAATGTTACCCGCCGCAGCAACAAAAGCAACAGTGGACAGACACACCACACGGGCGCACGCACAACAACAATCGCTCAGCACACAAGCCGTAACTATACACACACCGCGCGCACAACATCAGTCGAGGGCCCACAAAGGAAGGCGCGTGCTGACGCCACGCTCGTCTGCGTGCGTGTGATGTCAATGGCGTAGGGTTGAAATAGACGCGCGCACTCTTAAGTGTTTTTCAAATGACTTTGCTAATTGGGAATATTTTGCAACTGGACACCTCATCATTGACATCCTCTAGGACGGCGAAGTGTCGGAGTTAGGGGGGTCGCGATGTCGCGGCTATTTTAAGATGGAGTCTCAACCCCAGCAGACGCCTTTGAACTTGTTCAGCCCTTCTTAAAGACGCACATCCATTCACAGAGTTGGAAAAGTGAGTTTTTTTGTTTGTTATTAATTTACCTAATAGTAATCATAATGTACGGTGTAGCCCTTCTTCAATCCACTGCTGGATGAAGGCCTTCCCATACTGTCGTATTGTTTTGTTCGTATTTTGTTGTTTCTTCGAGTCACCAGGTTCCCGTCGATCACGAACATTTATTGCCCAACGGGTTTCACCTTTGCCACATTAATCCGTGCGCTTTGGTGAAGGGTCAGTTTGGAGTGGGACCCAGGATCTGTTCAGATATCACTTGCCACTGGGTGTTGTCATTTGCCACCCAGGTTATCACTTGCCGCTGGGGTTATCGCCTACCAGTGGGGTTATCCATGGCTGGAATTGAAGTCAGCAGGTCACGGGGATTTAGGTAGCGCAGAGTGTGGTAACCGCTGCGCCTCCACTCCACCCACGACGCCATCATTCACGGGGAGCGGTGGCGCAGCGCTTAGCCTCAATTCTAGCGGAGAATTTCACATCTTAGGACTGCCCTGGAATCTACGTCAGAACATTTTATTTCAGTGAACCAGTCAGTTGTGCATGCTGGGTAATGATCCTGCCCAACTCACACGTTCACGCAAATAACAAAACAAAAAAATATGGAACGCCTCTTTAACAAAATACATAAACCCAATCATACTGCAAGTCAAGTTCTAGCAGAAATCAGGTCGCCTCGAGTCGCGCCACGTGCGTCTTGCCCAAGACGCACGTGGCCGTCCCGCTAAATGTAATGGTGCCCCCTAGTGTCGCCAGCAATGCCTGCGCTCCGGTCCAGGGTGCGCCCGGGGACTCAATGAAATCTGGGACGGAGTGGCGGCCGCAGCCACGAGACGTGAATGTACTGCGGAGAGATTTACCGTGGCTCGTAACATCCGTGATGTCAACACTTTCTCTGTTCAGGCCACATGAGCCATGTCACACAGCATCTGGCGATCGGATCCGGGCCATATCTGGGCAGCTTCTTTGTCAAGCGGCTGCTTCAAATGGCAGTACGGGGATATTGCGTTTTAAAAATAAGCGGCTGCGTTGGCAGCGATGTACGCCCACAAACAAAATACACTCAGCACCTTCGTCATTAACACTGCCTTAAATAGAGACAAAGCATTTTAAGGTCTTGGGCAATGGCTCTGCTTCGGAGCAGAAATAAAGACCACTGGCCAAATTATTCATATTCAGTCTTTTTGGGGGGATGGGGGGCGGAGCGGGGGTATTTAAGGCAGAGTTAATGAAAACGTTGGTGAATTTACACTGTCATCTTTACACTTTTCAGAAATACGCGGGCTTGGGCAGGACAGGTCACGAGCCGGTAGATCCGTCCCTCGATGACGGCGAATCGGGGCGACCGCCCCGAGCCCCGTGCTTTGGGGGGATGGGGGTCGCTTCGCCGTCACGGTGTCAGCTGTAATGTTTCCTGTTTAGTTTGAAGGCGTCGCGCGGGGGGGGGGGGGGCACAGCGGTGGTTTGCCCCCCCCCCCGCCCCCTACAGCGCTGCTAGCCGGTGCATCAGACGAACAAGAGAGCGGCAGGTTGTTGCATCACGGAACTGTCAGAGGTGGCGACGGCTTGGGGACGTCTTCGTCCTGCAACGGAACACTGACGGCTGGTGACGATTATGACTGCGCTCGTGGTGTGCCCTATCTTCAGCGATCGACAAACTTTGCCGCCGACCTTCGTGCAGTGTATCCGTACGATGATGCTGGAGAATTCGAACCCCGTTTGGTGCTGGCTTTGTGAGACGAGCCGCAGCAGCCGCTGCCGCCTCCCCCTCCGCGTGGCCGCTTCAGCGTATATCCCGAACCAGCTGTCTGGGTGCCCCGTGTCCTCACTCACTCACACTCTCACACCTGACGGACGCCAGCGAGAGCCGCGGGGAGGGTGTCATGGAAGACGGTCGGGACACGGGGTGTGCGCAGTTAAACCTTAAACTAATTTTTTTGTTCACCGGGTTAAGGCCCACTGAACGATATAGCTCTTTTATCAGATGCGACCTGGCCACAAATCACGTGGCGATGTATTCTCTAAACGCATGTCGATTCTAAATGTGCGGGAGAGAAAACCGAAGTGCCCGGAGAAAAATCCACAGAGAGAAATACGCAAACTCCAAATGTACAGCAGGCATCAGGGTCGGAATCAAACCCACGACCTCCTGCATACCAGGCGATGTAGTTAACATCTCACCACCATGGCAGTTGGAGATGTCATTCGCATTCTTCGTCATTATAATTATCATCAACAGACACGATCCGTCCATTTCTGGATGAAGGCCTCTCCATCGAGCCCCGGCACGTCAGCTGATTTGATGGCTCCGCCTCCGTGGTGGATGTCCTCTGGTACGTGGAGCCTCCTTCTGGACTCGCGCAGCCACCTAAATTAACACTTCGTGATCTGCACTCGCCTCCCGAAGCGGTCGTACACTTTTAATGACACTTATCTTAGATCTAATTAGGGGAACAGACTTAATGTGTGTACGTTGAACTTCTTTCGCACCGTACGTAGCCAACCGTACCAATCGGAGGTGAGCACGGTTGGTGCGGGTGAGCCTCTGCGCAGGTACGAACATTACAACAATACAGCGGTTGGCGTTTCTGGAAACTTTATTTAAAAACAAGAGCAGCGAATGCTCCGGTCAGGTATAAACGGCTTACACACATTTTTTTGCTAAAATTTTCAATTGAACACGGCGTTAAAGAGAAGAACAGAATGTTTTTATTTTATTTCCTGCAGCAGAACACTGCGTCAGGCGTTCCTGAAGCTCGCGCTCAGCGGCCTGAACGTGCCGGTGGGGTCTGGGATGTACCACTCCTCCCAGAGCTCGGTGTAGGAGGACGTCCTGCCCCACGGCTTGAATGGTCCGTTCCAGTGCAGCAGCTTCGCCTCCCCCATCACGGCCGTGGAGAAGCGAATCGCCGCGCTGTATCCTGCGGGACACCAAGCCCGCACCCCGCGTCGCAGGCGGGAAAATTAAAAAAAAACTGCGGCGAGCCGCAAACCCTGGGGAAGCATCGTCGCTCAGACGAAACCGCGGCTTGCACGCGGGGCTCCCGAGGTTAATACCCCAGTAAATTTCTTCAGCTGATGCCGCAAGTTGCAAAAATAAATAGGTGTATGTACTTTCATAATGCCGGATGAGGGCCTCCGCGCGCCGTGCGGTTCGTAAAGAACATTCGACCACCGCACTTAACCGCGCAGGTCAGCGCGGCTTGGTGAAGGTGGGGGAACATAGGCGCAGACACACAGAAGTACAGTACAATAGTTGATTCTGCAATGCCCTCTGCCACTCGCCACGTATTTCCGCAGCCCTGCGACACAACCTGCGGTAGGATAAGTGGTTAGCGCGCCGCTACGAATCCGGAGACCCGAGTTCGATTCCTGCTCGCGGCCAACCCCAGTCTCGATTATCTTAACCGGTCCTGGGCCTCCCCTAGGTCGACTCAGCCTCAAATGAGTACCTGGTGGGGTGCGTAAACATCGCCACTGGGTCGAGAGTGGTGCTGGCCACCCACCTCCTGGTGTGCCGTGCCGGCCTTCATCGGTGCTAACTCGCTAACAGCACTTGCCCAAACAGTCTGTTGCAGGTTACACGGGGAATATTTGTCTTTGTTGTGGTTGAGTGTGTCGGGGTGATGGCGCGCAGTGCGAGCAGTGGTCGCTGACCGAGGTAGCGGATGTGCCAAGCGGGCGGCAGGCTGCTGTGCCGGCGATGGAAGACGATGAGCATCGGCGGAGTGGCCACGCCGTCCGCCACGGAGCTGCTGTACAGGTGCTCCCTGCCACGACAGGAGCATCGTCACCATCGTCACCATCGTCACCATCGTCAGCATCGTCACCATCGTCAGCATCGTCACCATCGTCAGCATCGTCAGCATCGTCACCATCGTCAGCATCGTCAGCATCGTCAGCATCGTCACCATCGTCAGCATAGTCACCATCGTCACCATCGTCACCATCGTCAGCATCGTCACCATCGTCACCATCGTCAGCATCGTCACCATCGTCACCATCGTCACCATCGTCAGCATCGTCATCATCGTCGTCGCCGTCACCCTCATTATTGTTTATACCGCGCCTGCCGTGCATTGCATCTCGAGGCACGGGAACAGAAGGGCCTTTGAGATAATTTCTCAGCAAGTGTGGGTACTCTGCCTCTTCCATGACGTCTGCGCACGCCGTGGAAGAGTAGGCCAAATACCAATAACCTCGAGAGTGGTTCTCTTCAGGTTATTGGTCTCGACAGCTCCCTCCCGTGGAGGCCCTCCCGCCAACAGGGGCGTGATTAGCGCTGTTGGCTACGTACGGTGCGAAAGAAGTTCAACACGCATACATATACTGACCGACCACCTCTCGTCTCTAGGTCTCTGATTTCTCTTGTTCGTCTCCCGCATCTCACTAATCTGCAGCTCTCATCTGCAGCTCTCTCGCCTTCATCTAGTGCCCGTCTCTCGTCTGGGATCTGTATCATCTCGCTATCTCTCAGCGGTGCCACTCCCGGGAGCCCTCTGCGTGGGACACCAGATGAAGAACCCTGCACTGAACGACGAATCTGTAGGTGAGCAGAGACCCCCCCCCCGCGCTCCCCCATCTTCCGGGGGCGACCGCCCTGGCTGGCAACGTGCGCACGCGGGCCGAGACGGCGGCACGCACTCCTGGTCCCTGGTCAGCCACTGCTCCAGCTGCTCGGAGATCCTCTGGCGCCGCCACTCGGTGAGGTTGGCCACGACGACGCCCGGGTTGAACGTGCAGCTGCTGCCACGGATGCCCAGCTTGCTCACGCTCTCCTTGTTGTAGTTCAGGTACGCCATGTACATGTTCTACGACACCGGAGCGGGGTGGTGGGGCGACATCAGGTCTGGAGGTCAGCACCGTGGGAAGCGTGGCGTAGGGGCCGGCAACATCGCCGCGGTCATCGTCACCATAATTATTGTCATCATCATCGTCGTAGTCGACACCAATCAACAGACGCCTGCAGCATACGCTGCCAAATTGACATACGTATCCATAGCTTTGCTAGCCTACCATTGAGGGCACACGCGGCGTATGCCGTTGACCGATTCACAAAGATACACCGCTGTCCGAGTCTACAAATCCGCAGTCGCCGGCAATATATATATTTATTTTAATGCAGAAAACGGCCAGCGCGCAGCTCGTGTGGGCGCTGGCGAGGACTGGCGCATTCCCCTGAGCACAGAGGTCACGCTTGCACACAAGACTACATCCTGGACTCTAACACTTACACTGTACATTGCTTTTTTACCTTACCAGGTAAGGCCCCACTGAGCTATGCAGCTCTTTTTTCAGAAGTGACCTGGCCACAAATGATCGCTCAGCCAAGTGGCTTATCGTGTGGAAATGTATCGCAGCCAAATACTCGCAATGGGTGATGTTGAACCTAAATGTGGAGGGAAAAACCGGAGGACCCGTAGAAAAATCCACGCGGCCACGGGGAGAGAGAGACACCGCAAACTCCAAATATACAACAGGCATCAGGGTCGGCGAGGTAGTCACCACCTGGTTAAACAAATACACTTGAAAACTGGAAGCACGCGACGGCACGGGCACCTGAACGACGATGCCCTGCAGGTTGGCGAGCAGGTGGGTGGAGATGGCGTCGCAGTCATCGGAGAACGCGGCGGCGTGCCCATCCTGCAGGGGACTCTCAAAGAGCTCCCTGATGTCCCCTGGCCATGGCACACAACGCTCACCCCCTTCAACCCCCTTCAGGGTACCGCCAGCGCCACTGACCTCGCCGTATTGGCCCGAGCCAACCAAGACGAAGCACGCTTGCCGCGTAGTTTCTCACGCTTTGCGCTGTAGAACTCAACCAAGATGTGTTTTCGGGTCAACTCGTAATGCTGCACCGCCACCGCCGCGCAGTGTTCGCTCGTCGCTCTCGAGGAGGAACTGCAGACGAGCAGGAAAGGCAGAAGCAGCCAGGCAGTGAGCCGGCGCCAGCAATCGCTCGAGCTCTGCGGTTATCTATATATGAAGGTGTTTTGGGCCAACTGATGAGTGTGTATGTTATGAGGAGACCGGAGCACCGGAGTAAACCCATGCGTGTGAGGGGGCAACGCTCTATCCCACACAACAGGTGGAGTCCACGTTGGATGTACCGCCTTCTGCTGGCGAGCCAGGGTATTGCACCTCGACATTTTTGTGATCCACCAACCCTTGGCTGGATAACACGCGTACGTAGCCACCACTGCCCGACTGTTGTGGCGCGTGTTGTTAAATACACACGCACACACAAGCCTAAATGTCTCCATTCCACGTTCCCATGACGAGGGCCATGCCCACGGCCGGATGAACATCGTCACCTTCTAAAAGGGCGGCGCTAATTTTAAAATCACGCTGGAGGATGATCGTTGAGTCGAGTACTCACTCCAACGACAGCGTCGCATCCACGTTGCCGGCGGTTGCTTTATTGACGGCATACATCGCACCTACCGTATGAATGTCATATGGACTTGCCGAGGGAACACAATTTTTGGCTCCGACGTCTTCATTCCTCTCTCGGCAAATATTGATTCGGCACTTTTGAAATCAAAGCGACGCAGAGGGAAACCTGCCACACAGTGCAAGCGCCCTACATCTCACATTTTGTAGGAACATGCTTTCATCGGGTGTCATTCAAATACAGAAGGGGACAAAATATAAGTTACAATCAGAATTAGATGTTTATGTATCTTTGCAGGCTGATAGCTCGTCATAATGTGCATTACCATAAACACTTGTTATTGGATGTTTTCACCAGCTCTATTTTAGAGTTGTACACATGTTGACGTAGAGATGGGTTATACTGTACGACTGCCTTACTTTAAAAAAATCTGTATTTACTTATTGGTGACTACTCCCGTTGTCTGGCAGGACAGAGCCAGCGACAACGTGGGAGATGTAGCAGTCACTGTCAGTACTCACCCAGCACGATGATGTCATCATCAAGGTAAACAGCTCGCTTGTGTTGAGGGATGAGATGGCCGAGATAGAACCTGGCAAAATTCAGCTGAAAAAAGCCCAGAAAAAATACAAAATAGGATGAATTAAAAGTTTAACATATCACTGGCTGGGTGGTTCAGCAGGTAAAAGCTCTGATATGACACAGCTGAGATCCTGGGTTCAAATTCAGGCATCCTATGTGATTGAACCACGTTCCCAAGTGCAATGAGTTGATAGTTTTGGCCAAGTCATCAATGAACGGCTGTACAAAAATAAGAGCCATTCCAGCTCTAAATTGCAGCTCGGAGAATTAAAACGCTCTTAAGTAGCGGAGCAATCCCTAAGGAGCTGGCCCCCTACTGTGTGGAAAAGAGATCACGTGAAGAAATCTCAGAATTATCTTCGTGATATCCACTGCCTGTAGGCCGTGGGGGTTTGCCTTGCCCCGGGAGAGTTTAGAATGGACCCTTCATCTCTTGACATGATGTCAGTAGCATAGTCGGGATAAAATTGAAGACAAAAAAAATATAAGAGAATGCGGCGGTATACGTCATTGCAATTAAAACACCGATGGGTTTAATTTGTGGAGATGATGTGAAACAGCCACTACTGACACTAATCACATGTTACTGTATTGTATGAAACTGCAATAACAAAGGATGGGTCATCATGAGAGAGCACACATATACTCGTTCACACTTACCGGGCTCAGTAACTCGGGCCTCTCAGCTATGACGGGGATTTTTCCACGCACGATCTCAGGGTTGAACTCAATAATAAAATAATTTATATTCTCCAGCACTGACTCCTTTATCCAAGTTCTGTTGGAGAACGCGGACACCAAATGGTCAGCAAGTGACGATTCACCAAGTCATGCATTCAAATCGGTTCTTAAGGTCATGGTACATGCAACATAACGTGTGCGCGATAATCAGTTGGTAACAATTCACGCGAATGAAGAGGCCATTTTCATAGTAACAGGATTACAATATAGCACACAGAGCCTGAAAATTACAACATTGAATATAACTATCATCTGGGCTTTTATATAGTTTCTAAATGCGACTGCGTAGGCTTTTGCAGCTGTTCTGTATGGCTCTCTGGTGTGTTTTCGGGTCGTACCCGCATTCTGTTCGCCTCGATGTCCGACGCTTCTCTGCACGTGCTCGGAGCTTCAATTCATTTCCTGAAGCAGCTCCAGGAAACACGTCGGAGAGTTTCCGAATGTTCTTTGTGCAAGACACTAAAAGCCAATTTCATCGCTGCGTCCGATAAGCCCGCATAGTTCTTGTAATTCCGTCACCACAACATTGCCCGCGCGCTAGCGTCGCGCGCGGTTGAGTGACACGTCCTGGCCAAGGCTGGCGGTGCGTCGGGACGTACGTGATATGCGGGATGGTGTGCCTCAGCGTGACGATGTAGAAGACGAGCCGGGCGTTGGTGTGGATGCGCACGCTGTTGATGGTGGCGATGGTGCCTCCCAGCCGCTCCTCCACCGCGCACACCACCACTGGGATCACGTCTGGGTCAAGGTTCACGGGCTGCCCCTCGTACTGCGCCCACTCGCCTTCTGCCCAACAGTAGAGTTGTGAAGATACAGAAGATTCGCGTTGTGTGTATGTATATATACAGAATATATGGGATGGAGCAGTGGTGCAGTGGTTAGCGCACTGCACTATTAAGCCAGTTACCTGAAATAAATTCCTGTCCACGGAGGTTCACTCAACATAAACCTACCATAATTATAACAATTGAGATTTTGAAATATATAACACTTAGCATTTACAATGCATACACACCCTGGGCAAATGAGAAGCTGCAACAATATCCAGTGACACAACTTATAATTTCATCATTAAATGAACTATTAGCATTATGTAATTTCACCACTGCTACCATCAATTACTCAGTAGAAATCTGTAACTATTAAGAACTTTAATGATGGCGGTTCTTATTTCGTGAAAACTTTGTCAGGAAATTAAATAATGTATTCGTACATAAATAAATCAGTAAGCATAATACGATTATCATGGTCCATAAAACGTCATATTTTATCATATTATTCAGCAATAATTGTCTACAACCCACTGGTGGCAGGGCTAGGAGGGGCCAGGGTGGTGGCCGGGCTAGGAGGGGTCAGGGTGGTGGCTGGGCTAGGAGGGGTCAGGGTGGTGGCAGGGCTAGGAGGGGTCAGGGTGGTGGCAGGGCTAGGAGGGGTCAGGGTGGTGGCAGGGCTAGGAGGGGCCAGGGTGGTGGCAGGGCTAGGAGGGGCCAGGGTGGTGGCTGGGCTAGGAGGGGCCAGGGTGGTGGCTGGGCTAGGAGGGGTCAGGGTGGTGGCAGGGCTAGGAGGGGCCAGGATGGTGGCAGGGCTAGGAGGGGTCAGGGTGGTGGCAGGGCTAGGAGGGGTCAGGGTGGTGGCTGGGCTAGGAGGGGTCAGGGTGGTGGCAGGGCTAGGAGGGGTCAGGGTGGTGGCAGGGCTAGGAGGGGCCAGGGTGGTGGCTGGGCTAGGAGGGGCCAGGGTGGTGGCAGGGCTAGGAGGGGTCAGGGTGGTGGCTGGGCTAGGAGGGGTCAGGGTGGTGGCAGGGCTAGGAGGGGTCAGGGTGGTGGCAGGGCTAGGAGGGGTCAGGGTGGTGGCTGGGCTAGGAGGGGTCAGGGTGGTGGCAGGGCTAGGAGGGGCCAGGGTGGTGGCAGGGCTAGGAGGGGTCAGGGTGGTGGCTGGGCTAGGAGGGGCCAGGGTGGTGGCAGGGCTAGGAGGGGCCAGGGTGGTGGCAGGGCTAGGAGGGGCCAGGGTGGTGGCAGGGCTAGGAGGGGTCAGGGTGGTGGCAGGGCTAGGAGGGGCCAGGGTGGTGGCAGGGCTAGGAGGGGCCAGGGTGGTGGCAGGGCTAGGAGGGGCCAGGCTTGAAGAGGTTTGAAGGGTCACGTTCACCTGAGGTCCTGGCTGGCTCGGCCTGGCCAGCCCTCTGGAGCAGACTGTGGTGAAGGATAATGAGCAGCACTGCCGACAGCGCCAGCAGCAATCCCACGTTCACTGGGGTACACAGATACACAACACGGAGAGGAACAGACTGGGTCGGGGCATCATGTTTGTACAACTTGGACATTATACCTTTAGTAATACATTACAATCCCCATGTTACATTACAAGCTGTCTTTGTGGATAAGGATCCATTGATATAAACAGAGCAGTACAGCAAACTTATACAACATCTATCAGTGCTGTCCTAGCTTTACCGAGCTGAACGGGCCCGATTGTGTTCGTGGATTTGCCCTTGCCTGTGACTCCAGATGACGTATTGTGAAGATGATGGCTCGTCACTGAAATGCAACGGGTCCGTGGCATGGCTGAAGACTACAAAGCAAACTGCAGTACGATTGTGTAATTTAGACCACTGGTTTAATTGCTGATGGGGATGATCACAGCCCTATTGCTCGCTTAATAAAGCAAATGCTGCCGTAAGAGTGAACAAAAACAGGCTTAACTGGAGGGAAAAGCTTTTGTTTATGCTCACGTGATGGAAGAAATTCCATATTCTATGTACACGTCACATGCATGCTGCACATGTTTGTTAATGTGGTACATTGTGAGCCCTTTTTGCCATTCCACGATTGGATGAAGGCCTCCCTCCCTACGCTGTGCAGGTCATGGGGACTTAATTCACCATACTTCATCACGATGGTCAGTGGGGGCTGGTAAAGGCGGAGGAGCGTAGACAAGGACGTATAGTGCAGTACAACAATGGATTGTGCTGCACTGCCCTCTACTGCCCACAGTTAACCCCCTAGCCCAGGGGTCGGCAACCTACGGCTCTGGAGCCGCATGCGGCTCTTTACAGGCTGCTTCTTGACGATATGTACGTATGTACAGTATGTACTCAGATGCATTGCGGCTCTTGAAATACTAAATTTTGTACCGAATTGGAAAGAAATGGCTCTTCTTGTTATTTTGGTTGCCGACCCCTGCCCTAGCCTATGCACGTGCATGTAAAGAAAGTGTGAAAACAAATGATGCTTTGTTGACGAATTATTTCTTCAATTATACATTACAGTTCACACATTATATGATATGCAACCACGAACATTTTTGTAATATCTATCCCTAAAGACAAAAATGTTTTAACCTACTAAGTTTTAAATAAAAGCCAACAACGTTTGCCGAGGATAAGCAGCAATGTTTATAACACAGTCAGATGCAGACATTGAAACATTGGCAGTCACAAAGACCGCCCCAAATTACGTCCAGATGTAGACATTGCTAAACTCTGCAATAGCCTACTAAACACAACGCTTGCATAACTATACGCCGCTTTAATACAAATTCTTTCGCTTCAAACCTGGAAAAACTTCGTCATGTTGTAGTACAGCACTTACCGATTGACGGGATATCACTTTACACAGCAAACGAGTGGCTTAATTAAGTCGGATGAGAAAGGAAAGTGGGTGTGATGGAGACGGAATGCCTGACACGCGCACTCACCAGTCCTGCGAGAGGGCATTTTTTTGCATCGCCTGGTTTTTCAATTCCAGCCCAAACCCATAGCCCTGATCCACCACTCCCCCTGCCGCTCCCTCGCAATGAGAGCTCATGCCACACTCCCAGCCCCTCCTACTCCTTCTTCATTCACTCCTCCCACTCCAGATTCTCAGCCACAATAACTCAAACGCAGCCTCCTCTTCTTCCACCCACCACAAGCTGAGCCACCACCATTCCAGCCTCCCTCCTCCTCCTCCTGCACACGCCACACAACATGCCCCTCGCCTTTTCTCCTCCTACTACTACGATTCTCCCCCTCCATTCAAACACTGTCTCCCTTCGCCTGAATTCATATCCCACACATATAGACACCAATAACCTCCTCTCAATCCAGACTCCAAGCCTCTCCGTTCAAAGCCTGGCTACTCCTACCCCATCCAGCCCCAAAATTACATTTCCTTCTCACTTTAAACCCACACCACATCTCCTACCGTTACTCCCACTCCAGACTGCCTGCGCTAATATCTATCATCTCCTCCACTACCAGCCTGCAAGACTTTTCCCACTCAGCCCCATCCATTCAAACCACGTGTCCGCCCACGACTCCAAATGTCAACACCCATACCGCAGTTTCTCCTCCTCCTCTCACTCAACAATCTGAGCCCCCTCCATGTAATACCAAAGCATCTCCACCTCCTCCTACTAGCACATCCAACATAGCCGGTGTCATTCACTCTCAAACACACCGGTGTGCTGAACTAGTAACGAATTGGCATGTTTTGTCTACGTGACAACCCTTACTAAATGGCTGTGCCGGGTGGTGGCGGGTTTAACGACACATTTATATTTACGCGATCTAATCTAAACACCTCGATTATGGATATTGGTCGCGAAAGCCTTCGTGTTAAACTGACCGGTTTTCTTCCTACACTCACTGACAATCCAAACATTGACATCCTCGCTCCAACTAATACCAACCTGGATAACGACAGATTTGGCTAGATCATGTGGACTAACCCACACATTTTATTGTGAATATTGGCCTAGAAAAACTACGTGCTAACTGTTAATTACTGTGCACATCCAGACCGCACTAATTCACGTAATATCACATTTTGTATTGTGAAAATAATTGACATTTCAAGCGGCAAGTCACGTGAGACACAAAGGTTGTTTACTATTGTAAAACAGTTTTCGTCTGTGAATCACAAGAGACGGCATTAGGAAATATTTATTCACAATATAAATGTTCATATCCTTTAAAAAAAAACTGAACACGGCACACGAGGGGGTGGGTGTCCAGCACCACGCACGGCCGCCTTTGTCTCCCTAGTGGCGACGTTCACACACCGCACCAGATACTCATTTGAGGCTGAGTCGACCCAGTCGACGTAATTTAAAACAGTGTACACACACACAAGCAAAGGAGAGCGACTCGGCTTCCTTTAGTACAACAAGGACGGAAATCATGCAGAATTAGTGACACAAAAAGGGAGTTGGTGACAATTTCGGAACGCAACCCTCTATTTCCCACGAGGTCTATGCTTCGACGAACGCGGTTTTTTTTATCGCCAAACAGGAACCCTCCAAGCACGTGACCCCGCGTTGGGCGTGGCCTGCCTCTGGTCTCAACGAGGAGCGCTACGGAAAGCGAGCGGTATCGGTCGCAGCAAAAACGCGTTTTGATTCTAGATTTGAAGCTTTCGTGACTTGCAAAGATTCATATTCTTAGGTTTTTTCGGTTAAGTCACGTAAGTAAAACATCAAAATAAAAATTAAATAAAAATTAAAAATAAAAATCACGACGTTTCGGAGGCACCGAAACGTCGTGATTTTTTATTTTTATTTTTATTTTGATGTTTTACTTACGTGACTTAACCTAAAAAACCTAAGAATACGCGTTTTGATGTTTGCGAACAGAAAATTTGCATCGGTAACGAGTTGTCCGCAAGAAATCCTTTGATCTGTTTGGCCGGTTTTATTTTCGGGGTAAATGCACCAGAGCGGCACGGCTTTATACTAAACGTTCACCCTCATTTCATATTTTTTACGAAAGTTGTAGTTCACCAACAGTTCATCCGTAAACGCACTCAACAATAAGCGGGATATCGATGGTTTGTTGAAATAAAAAATCGCGAATCCCATCCGCTATCCGTATCGGCTTCCGTCTGGGGGGGTGGTGGGGGGGGGCGCACAACTAATTTATATTTTCCAGTCTACTCAAGCATCTCGCGCGCTGCAAGACGTCATCAAGTGAACTGCCTCGACCAATCAGACGCGCGCGGGTTGCCTGTCCGGCGTGGGAATTGCAATGCGGGTTTCTTAGGCTTCGTCGGGGGTAGGGGGGAAGGAGGCGGTAACCATGGCGTCCGCGGCTCAGGCGAAGGCGGCCGAGCTGCAGTTGCAGATGCGGCACAACGCCGAGGAGCTGCACGACTTCCTGCGCGACATGGAGGCGTGGGAGGGCGACATCAAGAGCAAGGACGCGCAGCTGCGGGGCCAGCAGGCCGGTGGAGACGCCGCGAGCGCGGTGAGGGGAGCCCTTCACACCCCCCGAGCCCCTACCCACCACCTCCACTAGGCCGCGAAAGTTCGGGAAAGGCAGCGACGCTGAAGCATTGGGTCTCTGTGTGTCTCTCTGTGTCTCTCTCTGTGTGTCTCTGTGTGTATGTGTTGTCTCTCTCTGTGTGTCTGTCTGTGTGTATCTCTGTGTGTCTGTGTTGTCTCTCTCTGCCTGTGTCTCTCTCTGCCTGTCTGTCTGTGTGTGTCTGTGTTGTCTCTCTCTGCCTGTGTGTCTGTCTGTGTGCCCTCCGTGTCTGTGTTTTGTCTCTCAAATGTAGTTCAAACTTATGAAGGTTGCTTGTGTTGCAATCGAAACGTCGTCTTTTATTGTTTAATTTATTTTCTTTCTACGTGACTTTACCGAAAGAACCAAAGAGTATGGATTCCTCCAGTCACGAAAGCTTCAAATCAAGATTCCCCCCCGTCACACATCGTCACAAATGTCTGACCCCCCCTCCCCCCCTAGGTGCGTGGCGTCATTTATGGACGGCCCCTTTAACGTTCAGTGCTATTATGCCATCGTTTCACATTTCAAGTTCAGTGCTCGTTGGTATTGTGTCAGAATCGTTATTTAGACTGAGCTTGAAGCCTTTTTTCACAGATGTCCAAAGCGCGGAGGTCGCGATTTCATATCCCGACTGTCCATCGCTATTATGTGTCCATATAAAATACGCGGTACCCACTGACTAGCATGGTGAAGTATGTTCAAATATCTCCCACAAGCGGCAGCGGCGTAGGTAGGCCCTCATCCAGCAGTGTTTTAAGAAAGGGTTGTACGCTATATGTACACTCGCTTTGTCAGAAGTCAACATTGGTTGCCTTATGGATATCCTGGTCCCCGTCATAGGAACGTGACATTTTCACCACAAGATGAGACGCCCAATGGAGGTTTGACTGGCGATAACTGACTTTGTATGCGTCAATGCTTAACTCCACATGGAGTTGTAAACGCCCACAATCAATGTTGCCTTATATACAGTATAACACACGTGTGTACCAATAGACCCCCCCCGCCGCCCGCATTGCGTTTGGCTCTTGTGGGCCGCGTTTTGCCCTGACCCCACGCCGTTTTTGACCCAACGCCGTTTCTGACCCATTGCCGTTTTAGACCCAACGCCGTTTTAGACCCACGCCTCCACAACGTAATCTCGTTTGTTCGCCGCTTTACTCGGGAAATAAACTTCTGATTCGTGATGCCTTTTGCCACCGGGTTTCAGTTGTCATCATGAGCCATGGTCTATCCACCGTTGGACGAAGGCTTCCACAAGCCGTCGCCATCCCATGGTCTTACAATGAATGCCACAATCTACAGTACCTCGCTCACGCACACCAGCTGATGTTACCCCCCCCCCACCTCACCTTCGCCGGCGTTTGCTGTGATTTGGCTGCCACTCAGTTGTTAATCTCGACCACCCGCCAGCCCTTCGAGCAACGTGTCCTGCCCAAGCACATGTAATAGGCGGTGTGATGTTTCTGGACAATTGTGACGAACTTGTTGGAAACAAAGGCTGCAAATATAACAAACATTTATGGAGAGATGCATGCTTGCTTGGTATCACACTGAGAGACAGGAGAACACGTGGCCACACGTTTTATTCACCACATCCTAAATGCATTTATTACGCCTAAAATGCTATAGTGATTTTGAGAAGCGTGTTTTTGAAGGTGTAATTTGTCTTCGAAATTAGCTTTTTGGTTTTCTTGAATATTGAGCGACATCAATCGCGTAGAAAATAAGGATGGAAAAAATTACACCTGAAAAATAATTATCGCGAAACTAGAACGATATGCATTTTTTTGTCTTTTTATGCATGATATTAAAATATAATGAATGAGAAAATGTATGTTATTCTTTGGGTCTTTCGGTAAAGCCACGTAGATAGAGAAAAAATGAAAAAAAATATCACGACGTTTCGATCGCAACACAAGCAATCGTCATCAGGTGAAAAAATATAGCGGGAGAGCTGAGGCAGGAAAAAATATGTATACAAAAAATGTATGTTAATTTATGTGTGGTAAATTATGCTTGTAATTAGAATCCCACAGGGAGCCTACAGTAACAGGGTTTCTACAAAGCAGTTGTGGTTCTATTCTGGTGTTTGTGGAAATGTGATATGAATGAAAATAACATCTTTAGAACAGCATGTTTTTTACCTACTTTAAAATCGGAATACTGGAGAATGTTTGACAGGTTTAACAATATTCTTGGTTCTTTCGGTAAAGTCACGTTGAAGGGAAATAATAAAATAATAAAAATTAAACAATATAATTCTCACGACGTTTCGATTGCTTGTGTTGCAATCGAAACGTCGTAAGAATTGTATTGTTTTATTATTTCCCTTCTACGTTACTTTACCGAAAGAACCAAGAATATGAATCCCTGCAGTCACGAAAGCGTTCAATCGAGGTTTAACAATGTGATGTGAAAATGCATTTGCATTACATTTCTCGTGTTATCTTACAAATGATGTCTTATACCAAATTGAATATTTTATTCATGACAATGTTTTACTAATATTCGTCTTTTAACAGCTAAACTTGCCGCCAGTGAGAAATAAAGATCTAAGGAGGAAGAAGAGAAAGAAGATAGATAATACCGCTTCAGACTGCATAGAGAACGGAGTGAAGCATGGGAAATCGGAGGCCCGCATCAAATCTTATGACTACAGTGCATGGGACAAGTTTGATGTGGTGAGGAGAAGTTAACGATTATGATGATAGCATTCATATACATGCTGCTGAACAATCGTTTAACATTCTCTGTTGTTATTGTCGAAGTCTCACACTCCAACTTCATCTTTATTCCTCTCCCCAGTGCCAGGTCTTTGGCACAAATTACCTCCATCTTCGATCGTGAGCCGTCTTCATTTCACTGTATAACCCCACCCCCACTCCCTTCACTTTCCTTCAAGTCCCAATTTATCAAGCAACATTTCCTCTTTTTGTCTGACATGCGTGAACTCTAATCCGTGCACGTTGCAGGAGAAGGCAGTGGCAGAGACGGACCGGGACAGCACGCCCGAGTGCGAGACTGAGGAGGACGAAGATGAGGAAGTAGCAGAGCGCAAGAAGTACGAGGAGCTGCGGGCGAAGCAGCAAGCGCTGATAGAGAAAGACAAGGTGCGGAAGTGAGGGAGAGGCTGCCGTGTGGGTGCCTGTGACAAAACTACACCCTGGCTGCACACAACCTCGTCAGCTCTCGGAAGCTCGGAGGGTTGACCTTGGCTAGTACTTTGATAGTAAGACTGCCTGGAAATACCGGGGGGGGGGGGAGGTGTCGTAGGCTTGGGCTGTGAGGTGATCAGGAGATAACAATACTGCAATGCATTCCTGTTGATCCAAAATCATGAACAAACACAAGATCCAGGTTCGATTTAACACAGTACATAAAATTAGTGGTGATCCCTGACATGCAATACTCCGGCGTCTACAAACACAGCTGTGTCTGTGGCAGTAGTTACATTGGGGAAACTAAGCGACAAGTCTCGGACCGTGTTCATGAACATAAGGCAGATCTGAAACACGGTAGGACCAATACCTCAGCCATGGCTGATTATTGTTTTAATGCGGTGGGCTCACGAAATTGATTTCTCTAAAACGTAGGTACATTGCATACCCACTGGCTATCAACAAAGATTCGTTCATGAAGCCATCCATATATAAAGGCACAGACACAATTTCAACCAAGAAGATGGGTACAAACTGAGCAATCATTGGAAGGACGTTATTAACCAGTTGAAATCATAACTGGCTGTGATGTTCCCAGCCTACCACCTTCCGATATTTGTTATTTTCGGCTCTTGATTTTTTACATTAATAGATTAAATTTCTCACTAACACGGCTATCTCGCGCGGCATCCTCGAGGCTGCTGCTTCACAATCTCCCATTAACATGCTAATCTCTCACATTAACATAGTCACCATGGCGCACTTGATGGAATGATGCTTGGCGATATTGCATTGACATGCTAATTTTTGCCTGGCAGCCCTTTGATTGGTGGAAAACCCACCACCGCCACGGTCGCTGCCCACCATTGGCATTGGCTGCTGACATTTGGGCTACGCCCATTTGAAACCTTTATAAGCAGTTGTCTTTAGAAGCTAAACCCCCTTTTCCTGTTGACGACCGCTTGTGTTGCATTCGAAACTTTGTAGTTTTTTGTTATTTTTTTTACCTTATCTACGTGACTTTACCGAAAGACCCAAAGAAAAATTATGGAAGTGATGTGGAACATAGTTTTTGCTTTGTTTTAGTACTTACGTTTTTTCAAGTCTATCATCTGTCAAACACGTGTGCCTCGCAGCAAGAACGACCTGGGTTTGGTGTTCACCCCATGTTCTGCAGGGGTTTCCTCCATGCTCTCTGGTTTCCTCCCATCGGTAAAAACATCGAGTGGCAATAGTGTTGCAGGACCCTCCTGTAAAAGAACCTTCAGACTCAATGTTGCTTTTCTGGGAAAACACTTGTATTATTATTATTGCAGCTGTGCATAATGCTGAAACCTTAATGTTAACAAGTTTAACTTGGCAGAAACTGACTGATGTAGGATGATGAATTATGAATGGATCACAAGAACTGGAGATAAAGTTTACATCGGTGCATGTATAAATTTGCACTCAATTATGCTGATGACCATTGCTGAGGGCATATGTAGCATATAAGAAATATATATTTTGATGAACGTACTAAGTTTTTTCATCGCATAATAAACGCATTATCACCAATTTCTTGGAGGCCCTTGCACAATGGCATAATGGCTAATAGCTTGTGGTGTGTCATTTCAGGGTAATGAGTACTTTAAGACCGGGGATTATGACGCCGCCACCGATTGTTACACCCGCGGGATGGAAGCCGATCCTCACAATGCACTCTTGCCGGCCAACCGTGCGATGGCCTTCCTCAAGCTAAAGAAGTACGTCGCTCCACTTGCTGCTGTTTTATAGTTAAAATAATCTTAAATCATCTGTCTTATCAAAGCGTACCTCGTTTAGCTTCAGGATATTTATAAGAAACACCAGCTGTGTTTTGTCTGAGGATATTGACTAGAGACTGTAGAGATCTTAACAGTAAAATAATCAGAAATTAATACAAAGAAGACTCGCCCACAATAAGATATTTTTTAAAGGCCGTGAGAATAAAAGATCGAGAATAAAGCAAGAAGCAAATGTATTATAAATATACTTGTACAATGGGTGGATTGGTGGTGCAGTGTTTAGCACACCATGTTATGCAGTCGGATACCTGAGTTCTGTTCTTGACCACAGCTAATATCAGGAGAGAGTCATGTATGTATGCTAAGTTCATTCGTACGTGCGTAGCCAACCATGCTAATCGGAGGTGCGGGGGAAGGACAAACAAATACAAAAAGCTGTTTTCAAGAAATTCGTTTTCAATCTTGATTTAAAAGTGCACAGTTCCAGTGGCTTCCAAATATTGGAAGGAAGAGCGTTCCAGACGGCCGCAGAAGCGCATCCGAAAGCTCGCGATGCGATGACCTTCTTTGTTCGATGGCGAGTCAAAAGCCACTGCGAGGATGACCGGAGTTCACATGATCGTTTATGCTCCTTAACGAGATCAGGAAGGTACTGTGGTTCATTTGTGGAAAGCACTCTGTGTGTAATGAGTATTGTAGTTATAGACCTCTGAACCAGTTCTGGGCATCCTCTTTACGACCCCCCGCTGACTGGTATGAAGTATGGCCGGACTAACCCCATTACCTATAGACCAATGTGACACGAGGAGGCATTCGTCAATAGGTGGAGTGATAAAGGCCTCTATTCTTCTTTATAGATATACTCTCTTCAAACTGTGATTTTATCAATTGTAATAGGGTTATGATATGCTTCAAGAATTATTTTCAGTCTCGTTTCTTGTATCTTATTACTATGTACTGTAAATCTCATTTTTACTTTCTGTACAGTGGGACTCATTGATTTTTTTCCCGTCTCAATTGTGTTATGTCTTGTTGTGTTTCATTCATTCTGACCATTAATCCTGGATAAACACTTGAATTAAATTTGCACGAGTCAAACATAATGGTTTCTCACATGCATGTAGCGTGAGCGGAATTAAATTTTCAACCAATGAATTGTTCCTTGCCAAATGTACACTTGTAGTTTAACACCGGTGGGCTAAAGCAGTGAACTATTTGTCTTTGTCAACGTGACACATTTTTTACTGATTGGCCGTGTCGGGTGGTGGAGGGTTACGACACATTTATAAATAAACGCGATCTAAACCCAAAAATCGTTGATTATGAATGTACACTTGTAGTCGCGCGCATATAAACTATAGCAGAGATGGCTGCTCATGCTACTGTCAGCGTGAATCGCAGCCTAACCCCTGTGCTAGGTATGAACTGGCTGAGTCGGACTGCAACCTGGCCATCCAGCTGGATCCATCCTACCCGAAGGCCTTCGCACGCAGGGGAGCCGCACGGCTTGCGCTCAACAAACTGAAGGAAGCCAGAGAAGGTAGCACTGCAGACGGGTGTTTTTGCATTTGGTATTTTATTTATCAATCTTTTTTTTACATACTTTTTCCACAGTTGTATCCAAATTCTGCTATTGGCATCATGTCATTATAAAAAGTTAATTAATATCCTTTAATGCTCGAGAATGACCCACAGGAACAGATATCACTACCTCTGGGATTGCTTCGTATGATCTCTGGTCCACATAGTATGGGGCATCCTTTTCCCATCCACTCTGCCACGGAAGTATTGTTAATCACAGGACAGTGAAACCAATATATTTAACTCCCACTCGCTCTGTATTAAGGGAATGTTTGTTGCGTGTCAGTCAAATTGGTATTTTTATTCTCAGAGCTTTAATTTAGACAATTTACATGCAGTACCAAACGTAATGTGATTAGTTATGTTGTGCAGTCACTGGTGGCTGGGCTGAGATCATCATCTCACTGCACTTGAGAACCTAGTTGAATCTCGGGCAGCTGCCTGGATGTGAACCCAGGATCTCAGTCGTGCCGGTTCAGCACTCTGACCTCTGAGCCACCCAGCCCCTTATGCTCATGATGTTATTATGTAATGAACAGTTAATATCAGCACAAGTGGTGTATTTCTTGCACATTAATGTTTAAAGCTGAAAGCTCAATGATGTAGGACCACGAGGATTTTTTTATATTTAGTGTCCAGACTTAAGAACTACCTTTTTTAATTTGTCTATGAATGATTGGCTCTCTCCATAAAATACATATTCCCACTGTTTGCATGCAGCATCTCGAGATGCAGTATCGCTTAGATGCTATATAAATCCAGTATTGCTTTAATCATGTGATGGGTTATTTTCTTTTCAACAGATGGCAGGAGAGTGGAAATTGAATTAGCCACTTTCTTTGTTTGATGACAAAATTTGCCAATAACCAAATAAAAAACCAAGTAATTAACATTTCCCCCTGTTAACGTGAAAGCAGGCACAACAGGGTGTTAAACCCACTTGGAGCATCTGCTCGATTTGCATAAATATCCTGCTGGTGATATTTTAATTTCATGAAAATTGAAATAATTTTGGTGATTACACATTGAACGTGGTTTATTTTGCAAAATGTGATGCCATTGTTTTACAGACTTTGAAGCAGTGCTCACGTTTGATCCTGTAAACAAACAGGCCATTGCAGAACTTGAGAAAATCAAAGAGGTAAGTAACCCTGACATTCTCTCTAAATTACAAAAGCATTGGCAATATGCAGAAGCTACACTTTGTTATATTTATATACAAACAAAGCATTGCCATTTAATTGTTGAGCACATTAATGTAAGAATCTTCACATAATTCATTGCTAAATTTGGTGTCGCTTTCCGTGTGTTCATAAAATATTATGGGATTTTTGCCGATGTATATAAATTGAAGTTACCTGCAATAAATACCTCTGTGGTGAGAATTTTTCTCTCATGGCAATGCCATAACTAAGCAAGCTATCTCTCAACGTAATGCCTGCTACATTTTCATTGGTGGAAATACCTAATTTACCTTTGTTCCCGTGGGTTTGTTTTCATTTCAATACACGGGAAGATGATTGAGAAAACAGCCAAGTCTGGCGCAAGTCAGACATCAGTCACAACGCCAAGGCAAGACGCGGGGACGAGGGAATGTTCAAGTGTTTCAGTCACAACTCCAAAACCCGAAGCTGCTGAGACAGAACCCAGCAACGTCGTCCAACCGTTCACAAGGCAGCCGCATCTGAGGTCCAAGGTGAGACTTGCTGTTAACTTGAGATTATTTACAGAAATGTAGATCAGTATGTGGAACTGAACTGTGTCCACTGATTGACCTCAAAAGCTTTGATTAGCAAAGCAGCCTTCTTCACGCAAAGGTGGAACTAATGTTCTGACAAGTGGATACTCATTACCTCTTAATATCAGTCGCATGCTAAGCGGCAGCGATGAGCTTATGAATATAAAAATGTTGGTTCCATCTTTTAAAAACACGTAATTTGGTGTATGTAAACTGACTACATTGCCGTCGGATATATATGTAATGTTTTAATATATTTTATATTTGTTGTATTTTATTTGTGAGGCAAGGTATGCTTTCGATATATATATTTCACTACAATCCCAAAGCTCTGTTCTTGAAAACGCTCACAACAGTGGAACGAACTGATGTCGATATTTCCATCTGGTGGTGTGAATCACTGTTGTCCATCAAATACAAAATTGTTAGTGGAGTTAATTTATTTCCATTGAACGAATGAGGACGACTTGAGATTATAAATATATATATATATATATTAGTGGCAGACGCTAGCAGCCTCCGTAAGTGAGAGCAAATTGTTCCAGAGTCATACTTAAGTCTCGGCTGCATAAATAGCCCGTTTGCCCCAGTTCACCTACTCCCCACCCTCGCCCCCCTATGATGTGGACGGCATCTTCCCAGGTTGACTCAGGACCTGGCTGCGTATTTATAAATGTTGCAATCATTATCCACAGTGGGGGGGGGGGGGTGGGGAGGAGGGGTTGATTGGGTCGTTCTTCAGGCTGTTTCGCGCAAAGATTTGTTGTAAATCGTCCTTGCTGTATATCTAACATTGTTCAGCTCGTGATATGACAGCTGCATTGTACAAAAGGCATTTTTGTGTAGCCTTTGTTATCATAGCAGAAATAAATGTGTTGTATGAAGTATCACTGTTTTAAATTCATGAGTATAATCCGGATATGAGTATACCTTGTATAAGCACAGTTTTGATATAAGCAACACGTCTTTGAATTGTACTGGTGGGGGAAAGTCAAATGGAAAATTTGTATACAAGCACACTTGGGATATAGTGGACCTTGCTCCAAAGGGTTGTGCTTATAACCAGCTTATACTGTCAATCCTATAATACTTAATAAACCAATGTTTGTACCGTTAGATATTCTCGCCATGGGAGTACATCATAAAAATGTGCATGTGTTGCTGTCCTTGATTGAATGGGTCCCATGGTGTTTTTGAAATGCTGTAGTCTGCACCATCAGCCAACCCAGCAGCATCTGTTTAACTGGCAACACTGCTGATGAAACTTGGAAATGAATTTTTTTAAGTGTTTACCTACTTTAACAAACATCCATTCAGAATGTCCATAGGCTGATGGACTAAAATGTGATTATTTTTATATCATGAATCAGACCCATATCTGTTCATTTTTTTATATATATAATAATTGCTCTCACATTTACAGTACATCTTGTACTAAAGCAGCACATACGCCATTGTCTGGAACACAGGATCATCTCATCTTAGAGCTTAATTTGTGTTTTTCAGATCTTGCTAATAACTTAGTTGTGTGCTTTTAATAAAAACAAATTAGATTCTACTGAATTAGCCGACTGGCTTTTTGGCTGTGATGTATTCATTATAGATTATGTGCTGTCTGGAATGACCTGTCCAGCTGGGCTGCTTGGCACTTTAAATTTTTAAGAACATTTTATCCAACATTCCCCTGCACCTTAATGAAGCACATTTACATTCATTTCAGGAGATGAATGTAAATATTTGAGTAGGGCACACCATGTGAAAGGTATTCTGCAAAATAATACACCCTTTACTCTGAACCCATTGACCAAATGAATTAGCAGTATTTACTGATTGCCCCTTCCTCTTTACGTGATTCACTGCCTTTGCTGATGCCAAACAATTGTGCGTCATCCCTTGTGGCCCATGTTGGCTTATTTCCGATCCCTATAATTTAGGTGAACACAAAATGAGGCATTAGCAATGCGTGCAGTGGCTGGCAAGGTTTGTGAAATGGTGACTGCTGATGTGTTTCCTATAGCGTCATCTACTGCTGGATGAAGGCTTCCCCCAGCCATTGCCATCTCATGAATCTACGATGTAATACATAGGACAGTGCAGAAAAATGTATTGTACTCTGTTATGCTCTCGCATCTATGCTCCCCGCCTTCACCAACCCGTTCATACCAGCACAGCGAAGTATGGTCAAGTAATCTCAGTGACCCACACTGCTTAGGGAGGCCCCCATCCAGTGGTGGATTAACAATGTACAAACAAACAAAAAAGGTCTGTAAAATTCAACTTGGACTGATGTTTATTTGTATTTTATTTACACTGACGAGAAATGCCTTTACGCTCATACTTCTGCACAGAAACCACTGCGGAGGATGACGATCGAGGAAGTTGGGAGTGACATGCAGCCAAAATTGGTACAAAGCGTGGAGGGGACTGGCTTAAACGCAGAAGGCGTTCACACACCACCATCACCGCCGCAGCCGCCACCAGCTGCGCAGCCGCAGCCATCGTCGGCGGGTGTGCGAGACTGTGGGAAGGAGGAAAAAAAGGTTCAGGCGTCCGTGAAGGTGGCAGACGGGGAGGAAGCGGAGGTGACCGGTGGAGCTGTTGGAGATGAGGGGGACATGCGGCGTCATGGCGATCGGAGGGTGACGGGCAGCGAGCAGCCTGGTGTGATCTTGTAAGTGGAGGCACGTGTGTCCGGCCTAATCAGCTGCTCTGCGTGAGCGTTGTCACATAAAATAAACTAAACTACAACTAAACTATTTTTTATTTTACCAGGTAAGGCCCACTAAGCTACGTAGCTCTTTTGCAGAAGAGTAATACGCCACTTCGTTGACAGCTCAACGAAGTGGCTTATTACGTGGAAATGTATAGCAGCCAAATACAATAAGCACGTTTCTAAATGTGGAGGGGAAAACTGGAGGGTCCCGGAGATAAATCCACGTGACCATGGGGAGAACATGCAAACTCCAAATATACAGGCGTCGAGGTCGGGTCCGAACCCACGACTTTCTGCGTACCAGGCGAGGGAGATAACGTCTCGTCACCGCGACACGTGCTCGTGATACCAAGCAAATCTTGAACATCTTCCTCCACGTGTCTTAACCAAGATACGTGGAAAAGGATGGGTAATTGTACTTCGTTGTCATTTTATCCATGTTCATTTGGTGTTTTTAACCATCAGTTGCAGTTTTTACATGTGTGCAGAGCAGTGTTTTTTCTGATCCAAGAATACAAAACTATTTTAAGAAACATCCAAAAATGACATGGCATCCAAATGTATGTGAGAATGTACACTTTTCTTCTTTTTACTGTAATTTGCAGCCCGTGATACAATTATTTTACAAACTATGTGTGGAACAGCTTTTGTGTTTGTGTATATTCATGAAAGCACTAAAGTGTACAATATGTGCTAGTGCATTACCTTGTGTGTTGAAAGGGTTGCATATTAAGGACTTCATATTACCCTCCAGCACTTAGGAACCGACACTGCCATTGTCTGTTCACAGGTCGGTGGCAGCAAGAGACGAGGGGAGGACACAGCAGAGACTGCCAGATACACAGAAGAGCATCCCGATGACCTCTGACCTAGCCCAGACTGTGTCCGTGCCTCCGCCCCCGTCCAACTCCTTCCAGCTGGAGTCCGACCTGCGTCAACTTAAGGGACGTCCGAACCTCCTTTACCAATACGTCAAGGTGCAGTGCCCAAGCATGCGAATATACAACACAATTATCTGTTGGCTTCAGCCACCAAGCGACATATCAAGTGTGCCCCTCCAGCCTCCTTGTTCTTAGTGGTAAAGCGATGCGTTCAGGCTGAGTGAGCCGTGTTTGCGTATTTTCCTGGCAGTAAGACGCTGGCCTTTTATCTCAAACGTCGGTTACTTTCCTCTCCAAAAAATGTCAACGTCTACGACGTTGGTTCACCTTCTCTCATCTGTTACGAGACTATGGATGGTGCATTAACCGGTGCATGCCTTTCTTGTGTGTGCGCGCGTCCTTGCAGCAAATAGCGCCGATCGCATTTCCCCAAATAATGCAGCGACCTCTGGAGCCAGATATATTGTACAAGCTGCTCAACGTGCTCAAGGAGTCCTACATCCCGTGAGCATATTTACCTGTTTTCCTTCATACACCACGCAATCCCTCGGTTCAGTGGGTTCTTCGCATTGACCTGCCAGGTTCAGTTTGTGACCACATGTAATGCAAAATGATTTCTGTGTTTGGGCTTTCTCTGTTGTGCATGTGCAAGCTAATTCTTGCAGACCAAAGAGTGTCGATTACATGGCTGGATCCTGCAAATTACAGGCAGCAGCTTGGGAAGGCCTTCATCCAGCAGTAGATTCACCTTAGCTGATGATGACGATAGAGTGATATGTTAATTGGTCGTGGGCCTACCCACCCCGCCCCCCCCCAACCACGTTTGCCAACCCACATTGACCGGCACGGTGACGTATCTTCCAACAACCCCTGTGAGTGCCACGGCATGGGGGTGGGCAGACATTTCTGATTCTGCCATGCAGTCTTGGAAAATTTCACTTTTTATAAAGTTCACTCTTTCGCCTGGTGGCTGCACATAGTGTCTACGCAATGCTCGCAGCGATTATTGATTTGGGGAATTCTTGTCTGCAGGCACGTAATAACTATCGTTTACGGCTCACCTGCGTTCAGTATTATTTATTTGCTACCTGAGAGGCTAAATTGTGCTGTGTAATAACGCCGACAAAACCAGTCTTTGGCTCTGTTGTAGCGAAAGGATACGACATCAACTCATACCTGTCAACCCAGACGGGTTACCCATATCCTTGTACAGGTCCATACAGCGTACAGCCATTTCAATATGGGCAAAAAAATGTGTTTTTTTGTGTTTCTCCCTTGGGATTTATAAGGACAATAAGGTTGAATTGGTCTGTAATAAGGTAGGCACTGATAAGGGGTTGACAGATATGAGTAACTCGATCTGAATTGTTTGCCAAGCAAAATGATTTAGCACTCTCACCCATTGCTTGTTTGTGTCGACTGTTTTGGAAAATGTAAGTCATTTTCACTCATTAATGTTTATGAGGGAGGAAATGAGCATAGTATGAAATTAGTTTAGCATAGCCTGTGAAATTACCGTAAATGCCGTAATTTACATAGTGCATTCATTCTCATGACACTACCGGAGGCTGGGATCGGTTGTCAAGGGAGGATTTGAGAGGCACGTGAATACCCTGGCACATCTTAATTCAATTCCTAGAACCAGAGTGCTGAATTATAAGTCTTTTCTTAGAGACGGCAGTGCACAATCTAAAGTTGCATAATTCTAGATTTGAAGTTTTCGTGACTGCAAGGATCCATACGCTTTGTTTTTTTCGGTAAAGTCACGTAGGTAAAAAAACAAACGTCGTGATTTGTTTGAATTTTAATTTATTTTATTTTGTTTTTTACCTACGTAAAGTTGAATCGTTTTACCACAAAGCGCTATACCAGCGCTGTGTATAAAAAATAGAGAAATGCGCATAATTTAATCGTTGTGTGATACGTATTCATTGCCTCCTGATATTTTCGCAGAGAAACGCATCATTGCAGATATTTTAAAGGGCGTTAAATGTTTTACTTTTAAAAATCTTCTTACAGTCATGTTGCTCTCGATGCGTTCGCGCATTGCAGTTAAAATATTTCCTGGTAGAATTGATTGCAGACATATGGGATGGATAAGGTATATTTTCACAAAGGACAGTGCAATTTTTGCCACATGTACGGCTAGCCGCCTCTCAGGAGGATAGGACTCCGCTTTGGTGTTGCCGTGTTGAGTGTGGCGCTGGCGGGAGCCTGGTTTTGCGTTGTTCACGTGCTCTCGCAGACACGAAGACAAGTCGCTCATCTTCGCGGTGCTGCACAACCTGTCGCTCGTGCGCCGCTTTGACATGGCCGTCATGTTCATGTCCACAACGGAGAAGGCCGGTGAGTGATGTCCCTGGCACGCATCGCTTGTTCATCCCCCACTGCCTTGCCCTGCGAGCGGCCACACGGCCGTTTCTCTCCCTCTCTTTAATGCCTTGCTCATCGCTGACCTTTTCTCCTCCACTTATTATTGATCGCCGATGTTTTTGAGGCTTGGAGGTATGACTAAGTCTTTGTTTTTTTCCTGCTCGGCATGGTGCTGGTGGCTGAACCTTGATTCAAAGGAACTGTCGTTTTATGTTTTGGGATGATAAGTGCAGGCCGATGTTTATGAATCAATTACATTTAATAATTTATTAAATGTGCACTATTTGGATAGGCGTAGGCCGTTGTGTGTTCGTCATCGGCGGCCATGGTCTATCCGCTGCTGGATGAAGGCCTCTCCAAGCCGTTGCCTCTCCTCATGCCGCTCCTGCGCATCAGCTGATTTCGTTGCCCTATCTCTGGTGGATGTCCTCCCAGACGTGTTCCCTCCTTGGGCTGCTACTCCAACTCGAGATTTGAAGCTTTCGTGACTGCAAGGATTCATACTCTTAGGTTTTTTAGGTAAAGTCACGTAGGTAAAAAATAAATAATAATAATTAATAATGCAAATAAGTGAAAATTATAATAGTAGAAATTATTTTATTTCTATTATTTTTCTATTATTTTTATGAGGATAAAGTTTGGGGGTCGGGGTGGGTGGGTGACTGGGGGGGGAAATAGAAAACATTTTTCCACTCTGCATGGGCTTGAGGCGCTGTGTCACACATTACTTTAATCCTCACTTAATCCTCACCGACAGCCAGAGGGTCGAGCGATTTTTGCCTGGAAAGTTGAATCAAGCGGTGCAGCCCGTGAGGATTAAGCGCAAAGTAGAGGGCGAAACAGTGGCTGCGAGCAAAGTGGTCGGTGCGACAAGCGTGCCTTGGCACTCGTCGTCGTAACACCGGCAGCGTCGCGCGGCGTGCCCTCGCGAGCGCCGCTCCACTGAGAGCCGCGTGCGCTCTACGTGCAGAGTGTTCGGTCTTCTCAACGGGGCGCTGCTCGGCGTGCCCTCGCTGCACTGAGAGCCGCGTCCGTCTGTCTGTGTCGAGTGTTTGGTCTTCTAAATGTGGCCCCGGGGAGGAGACGAGGCGTCAGCAACCCTCTCAAGATAAGGGAGTGATGTCGCTGTAATTTGCCGTAGGCTCTGCACGAGCCGTCGTACCTCTCCGCCGCTGCGTACAGGGGTGAACTGAAAGAAATTGCGCCGATGCCGTTTGCGGCTGTACTTTGTATACAACTCCCAATTGTGGTTGGTAAAAGGGTTGCCGGCTTATGAGCTGGAAACACTGCGGATGAATGTTCCACAAATGCTGGGCTGGATACTGCGTAAATGTATCTTGCTTATCACAATTAGGAACAGGGAAAAAAGTTTCCCTTGTATATGTTTTGTTTATTGTGATAATATACTTTGTTTTTCGCAGCAAAGACTCTTGTGGAATGTTTAGCAAGGTGTAATAAACGCTGGTTTATTTTTTACGTGTTAAAATATTTTGAGTGAATAATCCCCTGCGATGTAACATCTCTTCTTCGTTTTCCAGGGTGTCAAGTGAGAGCGAAATAGCACACTCGTAGGGACACTTGCACACATTTTTTTCCCAACAGTGTATAAAGACATCATTGCAAACTTTTAACATCTCTATAACGTGGCGGCTGTACAAAATGTTTGGTAAGAGTGAGACTCAAACACTTGGTGGGCTTGTTATTTGGAATGGCCCAGTAATTCATAATTTTATTGTCATTGTCAAATGTCAATTGCTACGTTTCCATGGACACAAGTACACGGGGAATATTTGAACATAAAAATACACAAGCACAGAACTAAATGGTTGTCTGACGCTCGGCAAATTATTTATTGTGTTTTGGGAGTTTAGTTGTTCCGACGGAATACGACAAAGCCGCTCTCACGTGGGGGGAAGCTCGCCGCTTGCCAGCGCACGCTTGCGCTACTTTCGCGTTCACATCACCGGCATTTTAACGGAATGCAAGGCTCGGTTCTTGGCCTCGCTTCACCTCCCGCAAAGGGCATTCGTTTATGTTTGTACAAAAGCCGTTCGCGATATGGTATAACAGTTGCTACACCTCAAAGTGCAGTCCCGTGCTGGTGCCAGTCCAGAGTGCTTCACGGAGCTTCGTGCGAATTAGAGATTAGCGAATTTTGCACGCCAGATGCCCACTGAGCTAATTGAGGAATTTGTCCCGCTACCGTTATTTGTCAAGTGTGACAATGCGGTAACATCATTAACATTGCACACACGCAGACACACACAGTTTAATTTATTAGCTATGCCAGGCATACTAACACTCGATAATTAATGCATTATTTGCCTAATAATGCATTGTTATATTTTCCTCACAAATGTGACTCAAAGTAACGAGACATTTATAGGAATTATCAGCAAATGGGATTTAAGAGGGCAGTATCCTGATGTCCTAAGCAGCAAGGCAGTCAATGACCACTTCTTTTAACGGTTTTGTGTGTGTGTGCATTTCAGTTGTTTTATTAATACCAACGATCTAATTCTTTTTTGTTTCCTCTCTTCAGTCGCCCGAGCGTTATTTGATCACATTGCGTCAGCGGAGGACATCAGTGGCGCAAGTGTGACTGCTTTGAAGACAAAATACAGCCTCTGAACTGGCCCCGTGGCTCCCAGTTTGCATGGCCAGTGGAAAACCAGAGCCAATTCACGCTGGAACGTCCCTATCACTGTGAAGTCTGCTCCTCTGGTCTGTGACTTCGCTTGGACGCGCCGTTTGAGCTCCACCCAAAAAGAAAAAAGTGACTTGTGTGTAAAAAAAAAATGTATGCACTGTAAATTGGAATAGTGGCCAGGCAACCACTCAAGCTGATGGTTGAATTCATTGGTAACATCTTTCATGACCGTATGTGTTGTGTGGTTTTTATTTTATTTTAATAAATGATTCCCAAGTTACCCATCGCAAGCCTTTAAATGTATGCGTTTTGTTGGTTTGCGTGTAAGATGATAATAATAACTAGAGAGCCGGAACAGTTGCTCGGGAGCGGTTTTTCCCCCATTATCCGGAATGATACAGGGCACACTTGGCAGCTTCCGTGTCTCATTAAAGTTGGCGCGTGGCTGTAAGTGGTGCTCACGGTGGATGGCACGAATCGTGATTGATTTTGATCCAAACCTTTTCAGCCAAGGATGTCCTGTAAATGTGGGAGAACAGGCAGTTCCCCCCTCCCCCCCGCCCCTACATTTAACTACAGCATCTGGCCCGAGTGTTACCATCAGGTTAACCCCCCAGGTGCTTGCATCAAAGGGTTGAATGTGAGGTCTCTTTAAAGCGCAGTTTTTTAAAGATTTTGTAACATCTATACACTGTTGCTTGGGAGGGGAGGGTCATTAGCACAGCACATGTATCCTGGGAGGCTTGGAGTGGTTGGTTGCATTTTGTGTAACTGAGTAGTCGTGTGCTAAATGTGGCCTGGTCTGGTAGTGATACAACGGATAGAGTTCACAAACCCCCTGGTGGGGTTTGAATCATCCCTTTAGGGGGTCAATATAATAAAAAATGTGTACCATATTTGTGTGAATGCCCGCGGTGCTCTTAGGGAAGTAGTTCGCCCTAAACATTGGAATGTCGACTTCACACAACTGGCTCTGGGGCTTGTCAACAGGCGATGGATGATCTTCTGAAGACTCCTCCACTGCCCCTTCAGAACGTGTCAATGGCCACTGAATTGTCGTGGCACTGCAAACCAGCCGGACCGCGCGGTGTGCTACAGGCCCGTTTGCTCCGTACCCCCTTTAAGTGCGTCTCGCACGTGTGCGGTCGAGAGGGAAGGTCAATTCTCGCGGAAAGCGGGCACCGTTTGCGGTGATGCCACCTGACGAACCTGCCCGCACGGGGCGGCTGTGATAAGTGGCCTTGGCCAGTTGGATGCTGGCCGTGATGATCATACTTCATACCGAACCGTGCAACTCAAATCGCTGCGAGCCAGATGGCCCCCACCGTAAGGGGCAATGCGTTCGCTGGCCATCACAACACTGCACCTACATCTGAAGATGCACTAACCCTGGTATAACTCCTAATCCCGCTTTATTTTGGTCCGTTTTTATGTTTTTTTGCGGTCAGGATATAACGATAATATCTCATTTTCTACATGCATCGAATCTCTTAAGAATGACTTTCGACTCGTGTGTCACATTGGGAGTTCACGTGACTCCTCCAGCCACGATCGACCGCTGCACGACCCGCAGAGTTACCTGCAATTGTGGCAACTGCTGGTTCTACTCCTAGGCGGCAGTCTGCCCACTGCCGGCCATATCCCCATGTGCTGGATACTACATAAACATCATAATCGTGGTGGCAGGACACGAGTAGTAGAAGGTCGTGACAGCTCTTTGAATCGTGAAAGCCCTGCTGAGCGACGGTGTTACCTTCCCATCACAGTGTCGTGGTTGTATGTGGGGGGCGAGGGCGGAGTGGTTAGCGCTACGCTGTGCTACGAATCTGGCGACCTGAGTTCGATTCCCGCTCACGGCAATCACCAGTGACGATTATATGAACTGGTTCTGGGCTTCCTCTAGGTCGACTCGGCCTCAAACGAGTACGTGGTGCGATCTTGGCCACCCACCCCCTCATGTACCGTGCCCGGCCTTCATACTCGCTGAACAGCACTTGCCCCAACAACAGTGTTAAGGCTACACGGGGGGTCTTTGTATGAGATCCAGCACAGCGAATTGTTCCTTACCACGCACTGCCGAGTCCTCTGGCCACGTTAATGATTTCCTGGCCGAGGGAGTGTTCATGACACCCCCCTCGTACCCCCTCTCGTACCACGGTACGCGTTGTGCCACCTTGCCGTGCTCAACCCAAGCAATTATTTCCGTCCCTCTGATGCCGAGCGGCTTCCAGTTCCCAGTGGCTCTACATCGGAGAAATCTGAGAGATTCGTGTCCCGCTTGCCTCGAGGTTAATTGATTGGCGACTGAAGCGTCGCGTCTCCAGCACTCGTTCACCCGCTGGGATCGAGACGGACGGAGTATTTGCCGCGCCTACCGCGTTCATTCCACTAATCGGGGGCATTTGGTGGAGTGCATTACTGTGGGACCCCTTCTCGTCTCGGAATGAAAGTGCCAAGACGGTTTTTTTCTTCTTCTTGGTTCTTTCGGTAAAGTCACGTAGAAGGGAAGTAATAAAATAATAAAAATAAAACATAATAAAATAATTCTCACGACGTTTCGGCTACAACGCAAGCAGCCGTCTTAAACGTCGTGAGAATTATTTTATTATGTTTTATTTTTATTATTTTATTACTTCCCTTCTACGTGACTTTACCGAAAGAACCAAGAAGATGAATCCCTGCAGTCACGAGAGCTTTAAATCGTTTTTTTTCTCTTTCACGCGCGACCTATTCCTAAGGGTCTCGAAGGCGATAAGTTCGCCAGCCACCTCGATCGGACACTGTGGGGTTGTGTAGGCCGCTTGTGTGTCTCGGTTTTGGCTGGGGTGAGTTCGTTGAGGGCTTGAGGTGGTTAATTTTATTTTTTAATCGCCGAGGTGTCAGAGACTGGGGGGGGGGGGGGGTGCGTTGCTGTCAGTGACTGTGGCAGGAGGCCGTGAAATCCGACTCCCATTAATAGTTGCCTCCTACCGCCCGTGTGCCTCCGAGACATTTTGACAGATTATTTTCAGCAACAGATGAATCCCTAAACCGCATTTATATTGAGCGCAACATCACCTCCACTCAAGGGGGGGGGGGGGGGTGTAATCAAAACATTGTACACTAAAATAACATTCAGAGACAATGAAATAATGTTTTAGGTAAAAGTCATGAGAAAAGTTATCGTGAGTCTTGCAACTCCCTCCTTAAACAACAGCGAGGCTCGTAGCGTGTCGGATCACCGTCGGCGAGGAGTTTCAAATCCTTGGGGCAACGCTTGAGAAAGGCCCCGAGACCCCGTTCCAGCGTCGAGCGCAAGAGCCGAGAGTGGCAGAGCAGAGAGTCAGTCGGTCCTGCTCTGAAAGGGAATGTTCTATGAACCCCTGCAGTCGGATGACAGATCAGTCTGCAGACCCAAATGCCCGTGAAGCGAAACGCACCGCTTTGATTACACTGGTCAACACACTTTTTCTGGCATATGGTATTCCAACGGTTTTAAGGTAATTTTGGGGTGCCGATTCCAAATTTGGCATCAGTTTTTTGTCGATCACATCAGGTTTTTGAGATATCAAATATTGCATTTTCAATTAAAACTGCAGAAGAAAAATATTCATTAAATGTGGATATCTACATAAAATGATATAAACACACTATCCTAAAAATACAACACCATATTTTAACACTAAAGAAGTCACTGACTCGCAACAACGTGCAATCATAAGTGACAGTTAATTTCTGGTAACATCAATGAAAATGGGGTATGCCGATAGCATAAAAATGAGATGTGATAGAGAAATTCTGAGATCAGATTTGGAATCAGCACCCTGAAATTAGTCTAAAACAGCTGCAAAATTCCAGGTGAGAATTTTAGTTTTTGTTGACCGGTGATATCCGGAAGGGAGAGCCGCCACTCGTTCGTTCTGTGGACCCAACGAGTGTTGCCGCTCCTCGTGAGGTGTTCAAGCGCCACCCGTGGTGGATCCCGGCCTCTGGAAGGAATTTCCAATCGTGCTCCACGAGCGGTGGGCAACTTGGAGACGGCTTGAAGAGCCAATGGATTCCGTAACCAATGTATGTACGTATGGTGAACTTCTTTCGCACCGTACGTAGCCAACCGTGTTAATCGGAGGTGTCTATCTGGTTATATTGTTATCATCGCATTTTATTCCGCTTGTTTACCCAGGGACGATTCGCTGAGTCCCAAGACTCTCTTTCAGCAGGGTCCTCCTGCCAATTGTATGCAGGAAGGGAGCAATGTTGTTGCTGCTGCTGCTGTGTGTGTAATCCCCATCGAGTAATTTGCAGGTAATTACCGGTAATACTGGTAGGAACCTCTGGTTACACCAGCCCACAGGGGATTATTGTGTCCGTCCGTCATGCAGGGAGGGGCTGGGTGGGGAGGGCGGGGCTGGGTGGGGAGGGGAGGGTGGGGCTGGGGAGGGGAGGGGCTGAGTGGGGAGGGTGGGGCTGGGTGGGGAGGGGCTGGTCACCGCGTGGTGCCCTTATACAACTCAACGTTTAACCTACTCACGCCGGCTTGTGCCCGCCCTCACATTCGGGCATTATTGCGAAATACACCACGCCGCCGTTGACCCTGGCCATTGACCGAGCAACCCAATGTTCCTACCAGCTCCCTCCGCAGGAATGTGTTAATTATTCATTGATTTGAAGCTTTCGTGACTGCAGGAATCCATACTCTTTGGTTCTTTCGGTAAAGTCACGTGGGTATAAAAACAATAGATCACGACTGCAGCAGTTCTGCTGCTGTATCTGTCACACCTGATGACGGCCGCTTGTGTTGCGATCGAAACGTCGTGATCTATTACTTTTCTACTACCTACGTGACTTTACCGAAAGAACCAAAGAGTAATTATTCCTTGTTCAGCATTGTGATATTTAAACCAGTACCAGTTGTTTTTATTTAGCCATGGGAATAAACCGGATACAATTCATGAACTACTCTCCTCGTTCCTCGCCTTTGTCCTCCTCGCAGTCACATTCGGTGGGGGGCAGTGGGGGTGAGCCCCCCTCTTCCGTATACAATCACACCGGAAACTAACGGTTATCGGTTTATGAAACTGGCGATCGGTTCTCAAAACGGTTACCGGTTACCAGTTTAACAACCCTCACTTTTTTATTTAAAATTTGATTTAAAGCATTCGTGACTGCAGGGATTCATATTTTTGTTTTATATATTTTTTTCTTTTATTATTTCCCTTCTACGTGACTTTACCGAAAGAACCAAGAATATGTAACCCTCACTTTTTTTACGCGTTCCGAGTGACGGCGAAGAGGTTCGTACAGTGAGCTCTATCCCTCCATACAGGGAGGAAGGGAGTGGAGGGAGGGGATGGAGCGGAGGGAGTGGAGGGGAGGGAGTGGATGGAGCATTCTAACTCGCGTCAAGATCATCCGACATGAACCGGATCGTCGTATAAAGTTGTGATCGGATATGAACCACGTCATAGATTAAGTTGTGATCCGATATGAACAAGATCATCGTCTGAAGTTGTGTGGGTATACCCCACGGCGTTTACAAAGCCGGCGAAATGTAGCAAAGGTTTCTCCAAGATTAGGAGATGCAAAGCATCTGCAATGATGCAAACGGGTTTCTGTCGTTTTGCCCTAACAGCTCGCATCTCTGCTTCCGTAATTAAAATTAAATACCTCCGAAGACAAACGCATGTCGGAAATCTTTACGTAATCTGTGCGTATGCGTGATTTTTTCTATGCATTATTTTTTATTCAAATCGAATGAATTATGAGTGAAATAATGGGGGGGGGGGGGTGGGCGGAGGCATTTGCTGAGTGCGATACTTGCACATCGGACAGGCAACAGATGAAGTGTACCCCTTGATCCCGATGCTGGACTAAAGCAAAACATGTTTCATGGGAAGCGAACTACAAGATTACAGCTTGGCCGTGGAGTGGCGGATGGATGGAAGAGGAGGAGGAGAGAGCCGTGTGGAGTGGAGAGATGCGTGGGTTGCGGTGTATGAAAGAGAGAGAGAGGGGGGGGATTGGGCAACCCACGGGCTCAACTAATTTACATCCCAATGGAGCTGGAGCTGGCAGTCAACAATGCCGGCCTGCGATTGATGAGACGATGCAACAAAATGCATACAGGGACCCTGGGTTTCTTTTTTTTTCCTCCGGGAAGAGGACTCGCGCGCACAACAGAGATCCTTTAAACATGACTCCCTCCAGCACCCGGAATTCATTCATTGTTGCTATCAAAATATGGGTGAGAGGAGGGGGAGGGTGGCTTCACATTATATCTGACGCTTAGCATTGATTGGGGCTTTGCCCGCCAGCATAGGCGTGCAGAGCCAGATGAAGGCGCCCGACGAACGCAGGGCGCTCTGCTGGCTTCTACTGTGGGTTGAAGCGATCATGGGCCACAGCATTACCGGCCTTGTAAATTATAGCGGCGGCAGTGATCGTTCACAGCTCTTTGTTAATAATCCACTGCTGCGTGGGTGAAAGCCTTGCCGCGCCGTATCGGGTGTTTGACTTGTGCTTAAGCAGACTGCTGGGGGGGCACAGGACCGATTCGGATGTCACTCGCTTCTCTGATGTCATCCACGGCAAGCAATCGACATCAGGTAGCCGGGATCATAGTTCAGAGCGCGACCGCTCCAACCAACAGCAATAATGATGGTGCAATTTGCCCGCAGCTGCGGTCCATTTAGACAATGTGCCGATGTTTGTGATTGCCCGTTGGTTTAGAGGCGAGGTTCGAATACGCAGCGTGCAATATCTTACTCGCGGCAATGGTGTTAAATGATGCATTTGTGTACGAAGCGAATGTATCGACATTTAATTCAACAGCCATCCATCAACACACCGAGCACACACACACATCTAACATACACACACACCGAGCACACACACACACACATCTAACACACACGCACACACACACACACCGAGCACACACACACATCTAACACACGCACACACACACCGAGCACACACATCTAACACACACACACACCGAGCACACACACACACCGAGCACACACATCTAACACACACACACACCGAGCACACACACATCTAACACACACGCACGGGGGGGTGGAGAGAGGTGGGCTTGCGAAATAGTGCGGCTTCGTTCATTCCTTCACTGCTGCGACAGGCAAGATTGTGAGCTCGGGCTGATGGCACGGCGCCTTCCTCCTCCTCCCCTTCGTCTTCCCCTCCCTCGCATCCCTCGCATCCCTCGCTCCTGCCTTCCTCCTCCACCTCCTCCCCTTCGTCTTCCCCTCCCTCGCATCCCTCGCTCCTGCCTTCCTCCTCCTCCTCCCCTTCGTCTTCCCCTCCCTCGCATCCCTCGCATCCCTCGCTCCTGCCTTCCTCCTCCTCCCCTTCGTCTTCCCCTCCCTCGCATCCCTCGCTCCTGCCTTCCTCCCGGCTCTCTGCAGAATGAGAGCGCACGTGGTGGAGAGGAGTTGGGGTGCGGGGCGGGGTGGAGGAGGTGGAGGGAGGATGCTGCCAATACCCGCTGAGCATGCGCACGTGGTGGCAGTCTTGTCTCACTCCCTCCCCCCCATCCCTCTATCGCCCTCGCCCCCCACCACCTCTCCCACCCATCCCTCTCATCCCTCCCCACGCTTCTTCATCCCTGCCTGAGCGTGTTCCGGTTGGAGGAGCGCTCCGGGCTCCGTGCAGGCACGGGAGGAAGGAGCCCTCCACGCGCTCTCCGGCGACATCTCTCTCCGCGGAGGTGGCTCCCCGCGGACACGGAGCGCAGGCACGCGGGGCACGGCGAGACGAGCCGGGGACCGGGGCACGGACACCGCGGATCAGGCGGAGCGAGGCGCGCGTCTTCACACCCACGCGGGCGCTCTGCTCACGCGCGCACGATTCGGCTCATCCCAAGACGCTCAATACCCGGCATCTCAAGGAACACACGCTCGCCGTGCCCGCTGCTGGGTAATGTATCTCATTATACGCGGACTAAACGTGTGTGTGTGTGTGTACTGCGGTGTAATAGGGAGTCGTCGATGAGCGCGCAGTGCTACCAACCCGGCCGCCGGGGTTCCATTCCCGGCCTCGGATGACATCGCGGGCAAATATCGGAACCGGTCTTTAACGTCGGCACTGGGGAGACAAAGGCGGCCGGGCGTGGTTTCTGACCGCACCATGTCCTCGTTGCGCCGTTCGGACATTAATAGAAGCTCGCTAACAACAGCAACCCACGTGTTCCAGTAGTATGTTAGAGATGTATTCTCTCTCTCTCATTTAAAATGAGAGCTGATATTTCGCTTGCTCCTGCGAGAGAGAATCGGTGCGAATCGTTGGTCTGATCTTCTTACTCGGATGGGATCGTCAAGCAACGACCCTGCTGCAGCACCGACAACGGAGGTGTTCACGACGATGGCGGTGATGATGTTAATGACGATGTTAATGATGATGTTAATGACGATGTTAATGATGATGTTAATGACGACGGTGCTTCAAGACGTTTCTGCAGCACGCGAACCCGGCCCGCGTACACATCGCGTTACACACACACTGCCGCCACGTAGCTAGTGCTGTTGCAATCGTGTAAAACGGTGGATTCAACGTGCAAGATTACTCAGCGTTATTGCATTTACGCACTATTCCCTGTACCGGGGAACCTACAGGCAGGGAACGCGTCCGAGAGAGAGCACGGCCGCGCGGGAGATGGAGCCATGAAATCGGCGACCATCCAGGTCAGAGTGAGGTTGTTTTTATTTTTACCGGAAGAATCCGAAGAGCTCTCAAGCTCCTTTGTCGCAGATGTCCAGGCCCTCGCTCGGTCGAAATGTTCCATCGCAGAACTGTGAGATGGCGACCACTTGGAGAGAGGGGAAGCCTTCATCCAGCAGTGGATCGGTCGCGACTGATGGTGTTACAGGTTTAACATGTGTCGTCGTCCTTGCGTTTCTATACGAGATGCATTTCTCTATATACGAGTAAATACATTGTTGGGCAATGCATTTACTCCGAGCATGACCACGTATCGCAATTGCGTTCAATCTGTGCGGGACGTGGACTCAACGCAATTGCGTGCCATGGTAGGCGCGACAGCGTTGTAACGCATTTCCGATGCGCGCGTGCATTAGGATGTGAATTCATTTGTATGTTAATCTGTATGTGGATTTGTATGTGAATTCATTTGTATGTGAATTTGTATGTGAATTCATTTGTACACGAATTCGTATATGTATTCATTTGTATGTGAATTTGTATGTAAATTCATTGGTATGTGAATCCATTTTTACGTGAATTTATTTGTGCGTGTATTTGTATGTGAATTAAATAGTATGTGAAATTGTATGTGCATTCCATGGTATGTGAATTTGTATGTGAAATCATTTGTATGTTAATTAGTATGTGAATTAATTTGTATGTGAATTCATTTGGCTGTGAATTCATTTGCATGTCAATTGCATCGCAGGCGCCACCGAAGCGCTTGAACTGATATAAAAATGCACCGCAAGGGATGTGAACGTGGTGGAGGGGGATGGAACTCGTCCGAGTGAGGAGCTCCCCCACCACCACCGTGGAGACGGAGCGATGACATCGTCTCGTGTGCAGGGGCTCGAGGTGGATTCGTTGCATCGGGGTGGCAATGGCACGGCCTTCATCTAGCAGTTGATTGATCATTGCTAATGATGATGATGAAGACTATGTTACAGTACTGTAATGCGATACAAATGCAAATCTTATCTGCATAGACGACAGAGGGTTATATAGACTCGACGTTTCAGGATACGCACCTACCCGTTAGCCTATTTCAACGTGTGTGCGTGTGTAGCTAAGGCTGCATTTACACACAAATACAGCGCCACGTCCGGCCGCCTTTATCTCCCCGGTGCTGTTGTTGAACACATACCGCACCAGGTACTCATTTAAGGCTGAGTTGACCAAGACAACTCACACGCCGGCCACTAACCTCTCCGTGGCATGTGTGCTGCCCTGCTGTGCGTGCGGCGGTGTAGCGGTTAGCGCGCTGCACTACGAACCCGGCGACACAAGTTCGATTCCCTCTCACAGCCAACATTGGTAACGTTTATCTGAGGCAATTGTGGGCTTTCTCTAGGACGACTCAACCTTAAATTACTCCCTGGTGCATACTCTTTGAGTCTTTCAGTAAAGTCACGTAGATAGAAAAATAATAAAATAATAATCAATCACGACGTTTCGTTCGCAACACAAGTAATCGTCTTCAGGTGAAAAAATACAGCAGGCGGACTGCTGAGGCAGGAAGAAATACCTGGTGCAGCTGGAAAATATCAGCACTGGGGAGACAAAGGCGGTCGGGCGTGATGCTGGCTACCTACCCCATCGTGTGCCATATTGGCTTTCATAGGCGCTCGCTAACAACACTTGCCCCAACAGCCTTTTCGAGGCTGTACGGGGGAATCTCTGTGTGGATGTGTGTGCGTGGTACGTGTATGATTATGACACGTACAATTACCCGTCACTTCGCATCCCGGTTAAACATCTCATCCGCTCCACTTGAGCGGAGCAGATGTGAAGAGTCAACTGAAGGCATAGCCGCTGCACAGTGAGCGTGTCTAGAGGATATCTGCAATCACTCGCAGCCCCATGTCAATCCACTGCCGGATGAAAGTGATCTCGCCGTTCTCGGCCACGGGGCGTTGTTCGTCCATACTTCACCACGGCGGGCAGCGCGAGCGAGTCTACGGGTCTCCGCGCGAGTCCGCGTCTCTCTCCGTGTGAGAAATCACCGGCGGGGTGACGGGGCCGCGAGCCACCCACCGGGCCCACGGCACGCTCGAGCACCCGCCGACGTTTCCCCTCCTCCTCGTCGACGCGCGGTGACCGCCGATGCCCTCCGCTGCATCCGCAGGTCGCCCTGCTCCGCCTCTCATGCCTGGGCCTGGCCGTCGCTCGCCGGACCCCGCGGGCGATCGGAGCGCGAGTCGCCGAGCGGCCCTCCACCTCCGCCGCCGCCGCCGTCCCCCGAGTCTCGGCGGTGCCGCGGCGGATACGTCACGGCAGGCGCGCGCCGCCCGCGGCCCCCGCTCGCACGCGGCCACGGTGAGCGCCGCCAGCCATGCTCGCTCCGCTGCCTCGCCGTTGTGTGCGTCATGCGTCGGAGAGTTCGTGACCACCGCGCCACATCTTTGGCAGGCCCGGCTGTGGCTCCCCTTGGATGGGGCGGGGGGGGGGACGGGAGGGCGACAGTCGAGGTTAAGTATGGGGGGGTCCAGTGTGCTGGGGAGAGTGAGCTTGGCTGGGCCAAAGGGACAGGTTGGGTGGTGCGGGACCCACTCCAACACCTCCCTCGTTGCGTGCCTGCTCTCTGGTGGAACCCTCGAGAAGGGGGTCCATTCCTGTGCCCGCGTCTTGATGCCACAGTGCCTCAAGTGGCGTATCGTGCTTGGCACGGCTCCTGGTGCCAGGAATGAAATGTGGCCCCCACCCTGTCCAATTCCCTCCCGCCCCTCTCCCACTCTCCCAAAATTCCCTCTGGGCAACTTGGGCCCCGGTACAATTGCACCGCCGACATCACTTAATAACGACGACGTCACTCGGTGTGGCAGTGTCAAGACGACGGCAATTCCATCCGGTGGGTATGCATCTCCTAAGTCCGTTTATTTCTCTCCGTGGTGGTGGTGGTGATGTAATTAACACGTTTGGTATTCGTGCCATTCTGATAGCGCAAGGCTATCACAGTGGCACTGTGGTTTTACCAGATTAGGCAATTTTCGAGTGATTTTCCAGATTTGGCAAATTTGGACCGCGACGCCGGCAGGCAATGCCCTGCACAAATCCCAATGGGTTCACGGGATTTTTAAGTGCCCACTGTATTTTCAGTTAATCCATCCGCAGTAGTGACCGGGGCAGCCCACAGGATTCGAACCGCCTTGTCTCTGGGTTTTTCAATCAACGCGTTGCACGTGTGTCTTATCCAGGGCAGGGCCTCTCTTAGGTGACCGAAAACGGCACCTTCCGCGTTGCATAATAACGCTAATCAGTTCCGTGAAATATCCACTGGGTACCACGTGTGAGACACGCCGTGTAAATATAGGAACGGCTAATTGCATCGAAGTGCCATTGTGAACACATCTCTGCTTATTATTTAACACACGATTACATTTCACGAAGAGTTAATGATGTTTGGACAACAGAGGATATTAATTTAGTTTTATTATTATCATCTTAGTTCGTTTGCAAAGTGCATTTCGGCCGAGCAGCGGTAAAGAAAGCCATTGAAATTTTTTTATTGATCTGAAGTGATAAATAATAATAAGAATACACGTGACATAATTTATGAATCCATTGATAGCCCTGCAGAGTCCCTGGCTCGTGCCGCTTTGTGAGCTCGCACACGACCCCCCCACTTCCTCCTACAATTCTGGCTGCCAGCCAGGCCCCTGTGGGGCTTGGAAGTCTCCTCGCAGTGAGAGGTTCCCGGTGGTTATTGGTCAGATCGCAAGTCGGGCCAGAAAAAGCCCGCAACCCCTCTTTGGCACGGATAAGAAGAGTTCGGCCGCTAAATAATGAATACGGTGCAATCGCGTAAAATCGACGCAACTACCTCCTACGAGTAACTTGCTACCGAGACTTTCGTGCGAACGCTGCTGCCTCTCGAAAGGTTCCGTCGCGGCGTCGTCATCGACATTCATTCCATCGTTCGCGCGTTCACTCATTCGCTCATTCACTGATTCGCTCGTTCTCTCGTTCGCTCATTCGTCCCTTCGCGCATCGCCTCGGCAGACGAACGCGAGACTCTCCGAGCCTCGGCACCAGCAGCGCGTCCCCCGCCAGGCGGCATGGAGGGCGTGCGCGCCTGGGACGCGGTGGGCCTGGCCTTCTCGGCGCTGCTGAACGCCGCCGCGCTGCTGGGCAACCTGGCGCTGCTCGTGGTGCTACTGCGCGCGCCGCCCCTGCGCAAGTTCATCTTCGTGCTGCACCTGTGCGTGGTGGACCTGCTCTCCGCCACCGTGCTCATGCCCATGGCGATCGCGTCGAGCCGGCCCGTGTCGCTCGCGCTCGGCGGGCCGCCCGTCGGCGAGGGGGACGTCTTCTGCAAGGCGCACGTCTTCCTCAACGTGTGCCTCATCAGCGCCTCCATCCTCTCCGTGTCGGCCATCTCGGTGGAGCGCTACTACTACATCGTGCACCCGATGCGCTACGAGGGCCGCGTGGGCGCCGGCCTGGCCGTCTCCGTGCTCGCGTTCATCTGGGTCGAGTCCGGCCTCGCCTCCGTGGTGCCGCTCCTGGGCTGGCGCGCGACCCCCGACGCGCCGTGGCCCGCCAACGGCACTGCGGCCACGCCGGCGGCACGCTGCTCGCTCTACTGGAGCGACGGCGAGTACAAGAACGTGTTCGTGGTGGTGTTCAGCGTCTTCTGCTTCGTGGTGCCGGGCCTCATCGTCACCGTGGTCTACTGCAGCGTGTTCAAGGTGGCGCGCATCGCGGCGCTGCAGCAGGGCCCGCTGCCCTCGTGGACCAACGGCGCGCGCCAGCGCTCCGTGTCGCTCAACAGCCAGACGACCATCGTGAGCGACGCCGCGGGCAACGCCGGGTCGGCGAGCGGCGGCGGCGGCCCGCCCGCCAGGATCTCGCCCGAGCGGGCCTTCGGCGGCGGCAAGGCGGCCGTCACGCTGGCGATCCTGGTGGGGCAGTTCGTGGTGTGCTGGCTGCCGCACTTCGCCTACCACCTGCACGCGGCGACGAGTGGGCGGCGGGGCGACACCGAGTCGGCGGAGACGCTGGTCACGTGGCTCGCCTACTCCTCCTTCTCCATCAACCCGTTCTTCTACGGGTGGCTCAACCGGCAGATCCGCGAGGAGCTCAAGAAGCTGGCGCGGTGTCGCTGCGCCGGCCCCTGGCCCAGGGACGAGCCGCCGGGACCGTCCAGCCACGGCTCGGTGGAGGAGAACTTCTTCCAGTTCCTGCAGCGCACCGGCTGCCCCGTGGTGGTCGGGGGGGGGCCCGAGCCGCCCGTCGCGTTCGCCACGTCCACGCCCAAGCGGGCCTTGGACCACATCGCCGCCCTCGGGTTCCGCATCCCCGGGCAGATCCCCGAGGAGTCGTCCGAATACAACGAGCACATGTTCTCCAACTCCGCGCGGGACCCGTAGCCGCGGCGGTGCCGCCGCTGACGCCGCGTCACGGCCTTGGCGACGGGGGCGCTTCCCCGGTGACGCTTTTTGCCAAAATCCGCGTGAAAATGGGGACATCTGCCAACGTGTCAGCTGGGACTTTAGCCTGCACCGGCAGTGCCCAAGAACTGTGCTTTATTTATTTATTTATGTCACCCTCCACCCTCCCTCCACTCTCCCCCAGTTGCATTTTTAATTAACTTGTGGTGAGCCATTGGTGTTTTTTTTTACGTGGTTGTGTAGAAAGAATGTGGAACAAAATATAAAATTGCCAATCAATCAAACGGTGGCATTTATTGAGAGCGAGCGAGAATCCCAGTTTACCGCTCGGTAAAATGGATGGAATATTTTTTTTTTTACAGAATTTACCGGCTTTAAAGGCGTCGTAAAAACGTTGTAAAACGGTGCTTAATTTAACTTTGAATCCGTCACGGGGGGAAGGGGGTCCTGCGAAGCCACAGTTTCCATCCCACGGCCCGGTGAGATGACCATGTCTCTGTTCAGCGGCGTGGTACCAGGGGTCATGGACTCGTGTCCTGTAAGGTGCGCGGAGCGCTACGTCGAGAGTCCCGTCCGGAGGAGCTCGGCAGAAGCGCGCCGCGTGACATTTTGTCTCTGGGAAACCCGCGGCGCTGCGTTGGCAGTGGCGCACAAGCGCAACGGCGGAATAACGCTGCCCTGAGGAGGAACAAATACATCGGGAAAGATCGTCTCTCTGGCAGAGGCGTTGCCACAGAATCTTGCTTGCTACCTTCTTCTTTTCTTCGATGGGCAGTGATTTTCATCTTCTTGGTTCTTTCAGTAAAGTCACGTAGAAGGGAAATAATAAAATAATAAAAATAAAACATAAAATACAGTTCTCACGATGTTTCGGCCACAACGCAAGCAGCCGTCCTCAGGTGAAGAACAGGTCTGTCGGAAAGACAGTGTCTGAATGAACACCACCAAGCTTGGCAGCGTATATTTAAGATTTTGTCGAACGTGTTGAATTACGTCGATATAAAGCGTGCCCGCGGTGGCGGTGTTGGGGCGTAACGATGAATCCCTTCAACATTGACGGTCATTCTCAAGGCTCACAATTGCATGCGTCCAATCACGAGCGTAAGAATCCACAATTCCTTATCTGCTGTATGTCCACGGGTTCATTTGACCCCTCCAGCCACTAGAGGCCGCTACATTAATCACGGTGTCAAAGATTGGAACAGATGTTTGAATCACATTGTGACCGGCGCATCTGTTAGGCTTTGCGTTTGCAATTGGTGCTGTGGTCAGACCCAAACCGGCTAAATATGATTCCAGCTTTGTGAAAACTATGTCCATAACCCCGATCTGGTAACGTGAATGTCTTGCTCTTGTTTTGCTCTCAAGAGGACGCGATGGAAAGCAATTGTTCCGGTAATTTTACCGCGAGCTCCGATTGCCAAATCCGGGGGCGAAACTAACGACCGTGAAAGAACGGTAATCCACAACGGCGATTGCAAATCAGAGCGGAATTTTATCCGGCAGAGAATCGCCCACGTGGCACGACGCGGTGGCTTGTGACGGAGCGTTGTGGCCGCGTGGATGGCGGAGTGTCCTTGAGAAACGAAAACAAACCCAGGCTAAACATCCTGACCTTGCTGACCTCTCAGCGTGGGCTAGGGTTATGCGTGTAAGATCAGGGCTAGGGTTACACGTGTAAGGTCAGGGCTGGGGTTACACGTGTAAGGTCAGGGCTGGGGTTACACGTGTAAGGTCAGGGCTGGGGTTACGTGTGTAAGGTCAGGGCTGGGGTTACGCATGTAAGGTCAGGGCTGGGGTTACACGTGTAAGGTCAGGGCTGGGGTTACACGTGTAAGGTCAGGGCTGGGGTTATGCGTGTAAGGTCAGGGCTGGGGTTACGCGTGTAAGGTCACGGCTGGTGTTACACGTGTAAGGTAAGCTGACTGCGATCTCAGGGAACGGAGGGACGGACCGTGCTGTGGACGCAGGGAGCCACGCTCGCTACGCGAGACGCCGCTGCCGGTTGTGGTTGAGCGCTCGCGGTGTCATCGCCGCCGCCGTGAACACGACGCCGCTGCCCCGCTGCGGCAGGCGGCCGTGAGCCGCTCACGTTGATCGCGCCGTTGCTTTTTGTTACTTTTCGTATTCTTTTTGCTTCCTCCGGCTGTGAAGGACCATGTACGCAGCACGATTGTCGAGCTGCTTTCGTACCGTACGCAGCCAACCGTCCTAATCGGAGGTGCGTCACGGCGCTAGCGATTATTGTTATAATTATAATGATGATAATTACTACGCCTGTCGATCCGAAACCATCGCTGGCAGCTCAGAAATCCGATGGCCGAGTGGCGGCCAAGATGGAACCGGCATCTCGTGTGCGGTGAACTTCAATTTCCGCTGCATGAAAAGAAAAATCAACTCCTATTGAGTGGAGGTCCTCTCATCCGCACATCGATTATCCGGACTTCTCAATACCCATCGACTCGGAGCGTACCACGTAAAATTATATGATCCACACCAACGATTATTATTCTAATCCATGTCGTTGCCTGGATCTGGCGATAAATTAATTATTCTGCCCGAGACTTAAGAGGCCTTCATTCAGCAATGGCTAGATCAAGGCAGCTGATGCTAGTGTTGGTGAAACAGAGACGATAGGTTCTTACCCACAGCGCTTGCTGAGCCATGCCAGGTTGGCTCAGCACGGCCCCGGCGGCGCGGCTCGGCGGATTGTAACCGGCTCGATTCCAACAACACGCCCAGGTGGGGAGTCACGTGGTGCGTGTGGAGTCAGGTGGTGCGTGGGAAGTCACGTGGTGCGTGGGGAATCAGGCGGTGCGTGGGAAGTCAGGCGGTGCGTGGGGAGTCAGGCGGTGCGTGGGTTGTCAGGCGGTGCGTGGGTTGTCACGTGGTGCGTGGGAAGTCACGTGGTGTGTGGAGAGTCAGGTGGTGTGTGGAGAGTGGCGTGGTGCTTGGGAAGTCACGTGGTGCGTGTGGCTGGGGGAGTGAACTCCTCAACTTGTTGTGGACTTGACGGGTGATATTTACCTACGGCCCTTCGGCAGGCATCACGCCCAACGCGCACCACCAGGAGGTGACGGCTGCGTTCTAACCACGCACGAGAGCGGTAAAGATCGCAAGCCGGACGCCGCGCCGAAATGTACGGGTGAAGGTGATCGCCTGCGAATGAGCGTCGATCGAGGAAAATTGATTTTGCCAAAACTTAAGCAGAGACGTGATAATATGAATCAATATTATCTGAAATTTGAAATGCATTCAACCGCAAGTGTTGGTTATTGATCAGTTTACTCGTCGTTTTTAATTACGGATCTTTATTATTTATTTAACGTCATAAGGTCATGACGCACGCACGTGATTCCACAATGAGGCTTCACCTCTGCGTTAACCGACGTGGTTTTAAATGTTACGTTAGCGGTCAGGAGTACGATAATTTATCGTTTAATATCGATACTCGAGCTCACGACAACTTTGGTATCGAAGGATCGGCATACATCGTATTAAATGGGTTCACGTGACATGGTTGACCACCAGGGATTCCCAGGAGTTGTGGGCATGGTGCTGCGAGGTGTGGCAAGCACATGGCAGTGTTGAGTGTTATCTCCTCATATTGCGCGGTGGGTTTTCTCCGGTGTCTATCGGTGTCCTCCCTTACGAAGCCAGACTCTCATTCATGGAGTGGGCCAAACATTCCAATGAACCAGGAGACGATCCTGAAAATGAGCCTCAAGAAGAATCAGTGGAGGCTTTCCTGGGTAAACAATTGACATTATTTTTAATTGTTGCGTGGGTTATAGGGACTCCTGCCTTAGCGGTGTTATTAAAAAATAAGGGGCCCGGGCAACGAATTGTTATTCAGAATGTTTGTGGTTTCAATTCCCGATCCGTTGATGCGACTGCTGCTGTTTATAATCGGTCCTTTTTACCACAAAGAACGGCCACCGTTTCTCAACATGTCATTGGCAACAAACGTGTCGAGTTTTTGTTGTTGCCTTTGTTGTTTCTTCAACGACAGCGCCGTTAGTTTCTCTGCTCATCTGTGTTTATTTAATTAATTGGGCAGACCCCTACTCGGCCGGCCTTTGCGGCGCTTGTACGCGTCCACGTATGGACGTTTTGTCCATCCGCTGCTGGATGGAGGCCTCCCCTTATTAGACGTCACCACGCTGTAACGTCGGCGCGGGTTGGTTAAGGTGGTGGGCCACAGACGCGGTAGCGTAGAAGTAAGGTACAATAATCGTTTCTGCAACTGCGCCTCTGTTGGCCACCACGTGGCCACCAATGCGGTGGTGATGGTGCTTCATGTACAGGGTGGACCTAAAGTCAGGACACACGGGGTTATTATATTAATTTTAACAAATGTTCAAACTGACCCCCATTAATATTCATGCGTGATGCATGAATTCTCTTTTGAACTCACGACTTTGTATTTTTTAAGATGATAGCTGTATCATTTTGAACATTCATCAATTATGTTTCATCTTAACTCATTCCGGGTTCTTGGTCGAGATTTGTAAATGACGCATTTGCCCACAGAAATAATAATAATAGGAACATTTAATAATAACAGATAAAAAATCAATTTAAATAATAAATCATTCAAATATTGTAATGCCAGTGTTAAATAAATAAAATAACCTATTTGTGTCCTGACTTGTGGGCCACCCTGTAGAACTCGAAGGGTCACGAGTTAACAATGGACGCTCACGAAGGATCGACTCAGCCTATCATCTTCAACATCCCTCCACGGTCAATAAAATAACTACCACTTTGTGTCAACTAAACAGCGGTCTCTCTGCTGACAAACTGGCCCCTGTCATGGGAACGTGGAACTTCCACCCCTGGCTCAGGGCCGCCGATGGAGATGGCTCGGTTGAGCGGCGAGACGCGTTTGATTTTGTTTTACTTTGACGTCAGTCGATGACTGAGAGACATGGGGCGACAATTGTGCGGGTAAACTCCCATGCTTTAGGTGCCGGGAAATCTATTTAAACTCTCTGCAGTTGGTGTGGAGTCGCTGCTTTGGTGAATTAACAAGGAACACGGCGAGGTAGATAGCGATACTGTAACTGGGTTGTTTTTTTCATCACGGTCTCTGACACGAAAGGAAGATGTCACGCTTCGTTCGCCTGGCCCTTTTCTGGAGAAAAAAAATGTCGAGCGTGGCGTCAAGAAAATCATGAAGGCCATCATCATCATCAGCAGCAGCAGCCACAGTCAATCCACTGCTGGATGAACAATCCTCGGCCCATATCTTGACGCCTTCCTCTCCGAGCACTGACAGTTGGGAAAAGGTCCCGTCACGACTTTAATCGAACCTGTTATTTGAATGACTATACGATCACAAACATATTACAAACCTTTATATAAGTATTAATGTATGTGCCTATGGTGCCATGATTCCAGTACATTGTTCTGGTGACTGTGTTTTCCTACAATAGGACAAATCTGTTAGGGAGATATAAATAACTACACCGCGTGCATGGTACTGTGCGTCTCGGTGCAGACAGCCTCTTGATGTAGTCGCCTCTCGATTTTCCAGGGTAATCGGGTGGCAGGGCGGTGGCACGGTGGGCAACACCCATGGCTCACAGGAAGAGAGGCCTTCCTCGCCTCTGTGGAGTTTGAATGTTCTCCCCCAGCCTGTACATTTAACTGGTATTGGCCAAAACATTCCCAGTGCTGAAAAATTGACCTGCGCATGACTCACCTGAGATCACGCACACACGCACACACGGCGGCAACGTTGGCCCATCTCCTGTGGAAACTTGGCAGGACCCGACTGAAAAAGAGTCTTGAGACTCGTTGAGGCTCTCCGGGGTTAGCAAGCACAATACAATACCGATACATTAGTCAGTGGAGGTGAGGGCTGATCCGGACAAATCGAAAACCACGACTATTACAATACACGTTGTTACAATTACAGATGTTTACCAAGAAAAGCCTCGCTCAGTCTCAATACATTTAGGTTTGCGCAGTAAGGGGTGAGACTCGCCAGCGTTATGGGTTTCCCAATTAAGTAAACATGCAAATGAGGCTATGACAATATGGGATGGCTGTTGACGACGCCGGTTTTTTTTATTGTTGCTTAAAGCGATCGCTCACTTGCCTGCCAACACATTTGGGGTCACGTGAGCACTGAGCCAATTGGCCATCGACGAGTGAGGAGGAGCAGGTCAATGTTAAAACAGCCTGCATATTTATTTATTGGCAATCTGCATAATCTACCCCCTTTCCGCCTCCCCCCCCCACGGGTAATCGAGAGTTCACTGTACTTTGCTGGTCGATATTTATTTGATATATATACACATATCTATATTTGTAAACGATTTCATATTTAATTGGACAGGGTACGAGCAGGTCGCTGTTGTATTCTATACGAGACTGCGATGAGCGGTGGGGCCACGTGCGTTAGTCACGCGGTTACTGTGACGTCATCGCGTGACGCGCAAGGTACGCGGTTGGCGGGGTAACAGTCACGGCCGTCCATAGAGGGGGGGTGCGGGGACTGGGGCAAATCACACCGTGTGCCCCCCCCCCCGACACCTTCAAACTACACCGGAAGTATTCAATCTGACAGCGCGACGTCAACGCGTGGGGGCCCCCCAAAGCGCGGGACCCGGGGCGGTCGCCCATATTCTAGGGACGGCTCTGGTGACGATTGCACATATTTTGTTGTTGTTTGCTGTCTAGAAGAAAGGAGGAAAAAAAACAATCGCCTCTCGTGCGGTGTGCGATGCGAGTCTGACAAGCGGTGGTGGGATCTCGCGACCCCGGGGCTCCGCGTGTGTCGTTCGGGGCAATGGGGAGGGGGCGCGTACGGTGACCTCCTCAACCCCGACCCCGACGCGGTGATGAGCGCCGCACCTGCGAGGTTATTTCTATCGGCGCGACGCTGCGATGCCGTTGGGAATTAGCGGGGCTCGCGCCTTAGTTTTTTGTGTTTCTCTTGCAACGTTCTGAACACGAATACGAGAATAATAAAAATAAAAAATCACAAAAGGTGAAACGTGACCATCGCTCCTCCGTGCCGCCTCTTTTATTTCCCCTCGCTCCCCCCGCTCGTGAGTTCTGAACTCAACGAATTTTCAAGGAATTTTCCACGACGGTTCAGCTGCTGCACCGGGAGATGGCATCGAGCCGGCGATGTATGGACTCGAGCGTGCTGGACATTCCACCCCCGGCAGCTGACTTCGTTTCTCGGTGAAAGAGGTGACAATGACACGTGTTTTTTTTTCTCCTGTAGATAGTTACAACGTGCGGCAAAACCGGTAACCGTTATTCTTCTTGCGGTTACCGGTAATCCAACAACAACCGATTTAACAACCGTGTTTACAAACCGTTCACGCAAAGTAACATCGTAAATGTTGCTGCAAAAATGTACCATGAATTTTTTTTTCATTTTCAAATGACGCACAAAGTCCAGCGTCGACACGGAACACCGGGCGGAAGAAATCAGGGCTCAAGAAAAAAGTTAAAAATAGCGGTGATTTGACCATTCGGCTCAACCCGCAGACGCGTGCTAGCAAGGAGCGACCCACATACGAATTGGGTTTCATTAACGCAGAGCGAACGTCAGCGCTAAAAATAGAGGCACCTTGCCACCCACAGGGGCGGCGTTGGGGTTATTTATATCAAGACGACTCCGCAATGAGTCGCGTTGTAAATTAATTAGCCGCTCTCTAACGTGTCACTGAAATGTCACGATGTTCAGACAGAATAGCAACAACAAACCGCAGCATCTCATTCAATATTGGGCGCGCGTGTGCGGTGTGCAGGGTGTGTTCTGTGTTGTTGTCGTGTGGTTTGTGTTGTGTGGATTGTGTTGTGTGTGTTGTATGGTGTGTGTTCCGTTTTTGTGTGGATTTTTGTAACGATAGAATTGAAACGTCGTTTATTTATAGCCATGTGAGAACCGGCTGAGAATAAAATAATTTTCGTTTATTTCGCAAGGAAGAAAATGGTATGTCGTGTGTGCAAGCACGACAGTCGATTGTGGGCGAATTTATAAAAAAATATATCACTCGGCATTCAAGTTATAGTAGCCTCGTATTAAAATAAAGATTCATTTTAAGAAATAAATAATTCGTAAATGTAATTCAAGTGTTCAACAACAACAACATCACGAAGAACGGTGGCTCAAATGAACAGGAGCGAGCAAAGCAATCACGCAGAGTGGAAATAACGTCGCGATGGTGACCGTGAAAGATAATGCCGGAGGTGTAAATACAAAAGAAAGAAATCTATTCACAACTCTCCGACGTGCACGCGATCGGCATAAATCATCTTAGGAACGCGTAGGCAGGTGACCTGGCTCGTGCCATCGTTTCTCACGTGTACAGTTTTTCAGCGGCAATGCCACTCCGTGTGCGAGGAGGAGTACCACCGTGGGTTCGAGGTCATTTACCACAATGAGTACTTTGCTGAGGGTCATTTACCACAAAAAGAAACAAAAAGATTGCCCGAAAAATGTAAAACAGTAGATCCCCCACGGTGAGGGTGACGCGTCAAGTTAGCGCACTGGATTTTAAAATATAAACCGTTGATTTTCTTAATGCGATTTAAACTACTGTACGTGTTTAACAATAAATGTTATGCCTCGGTCAAAATTGCTGAAAATAAAAACGAATTTCACTGCGTGTGGCCGTGGTGAGAGCATATCTCGTTTTCTGATTGCCCTCTGGTTTGTTTGGTTCCTGCGTGCACATCCGTGAACTCGTTTCCCCTTTACAATGTTTTTGAACCATAAGTACTGTACGGAATATAATAATACCGTACTGTAGTCTCCACTTGTAACACTACGCCGCCATCACCACCGCACATCATTCACTCCCTCTGGAGGAGAGAGAACGAATCAGAGGCGCGAGGAACCATAGACAAGCCGAGGCCAACAATTGGCCAAGCTCTGCAGTCCTCGATGTATATGTAAGGTGTCACCGGGCAATTAATGAGTGTTTTACACGTGGGAGGAAATCCGAGCACCCAGAGAAAACCCACGCATGCGAGGGAGCAACACTCTATCCCATACAGACGGAACAGGTGGAGTCCACATTTTTGCTCGACTGCCATCTCCTGGCGAGCCATCATTTCTTCACTATTTTGTCAACAAATACAGACAGACTCGTGCATTCTGAGCCAATTTTCCACGGCCCTGTAGCAGCACAGACTACGTGGGAGGGTGGTTTTGGTGGGGGGGGGTAGTGTAATCGTCAATATGTTTCAAAACGAATTTTAAAACGCGGGTGAAAAGGTCAGACGGGACGGCTGGGGGCCCGTTGTGGTGCCCGTGTGATGCCCCTTCTCCTGCCTCTTGATGACGCGAGGCGCGCGCGCCGCTCACGACCGCCCAGAGGTTGCCCTTTTCCCTCTCCCCCCGCGGCTTGCAGAGTTCAGCTTTGATCTCAGCACGGGGGGGTCACTGAGCCACCGCGCGCGGGAGCCGTGCCGGGTCCACCGCCCCCACTCCCAGCCGTGGAAGCAACGCGCCGGGAATTATTCGGAAGCCCGCTGCTCCACGGCCACCGCCGAGACATTAACAACGCGGCATCGACGTGGAATCGACACAAAACCACAACAACAACAACAACCAACAAAAAAAACACCCAAATATAAACCACTACAGAGGCGTTCGCTGCTTTGAACGAGGTGATAGACGGTCGTTGTTGTGGGGGGGGGGGTGGGGGACATCCGTGGGTCGGACTTCAGGACGACGATCGCCCCAAGCGCATGGGCGACAGCGGACTCGGTGGGCCGATGGGACGGCCACGGTGGAGACGGAACGACGGCACATTCAGCTCGCGTGGAGGAGCTACATCGGTGTGAGATCGTGAGGGATGGTGAGCGCGTTGGGTAAGAGCCTTCATCCAGCAGTGAATAAATCATGGCCGATGATGACTATACAAAGTGATTCAAAGAAGATGTTTTAACACTTCTGCAAATTTGCAACAGTGCCCCGAGCATGTGCCTCTGGGCTCTGGAGACCACCTGGAGATGATTCCCGGCACGCGTTGACAACGATGGCGAACAAGTGGAGACTCTTTGACTTTTTGAGGCTATTAACATTACATTTGTTATCATGTTACAGTGTATTATCCATTCTTTTTTTCTTCATTACAAACTACAGTGCCTTATAGGTGTTAACATTTGTTCTAAGCACGCTGCATTTGAACGGCACTGCAGGTTTCCAGGGCACCCATTCGTTTTAAAGAATAAATTGCAGTTTGATGAAGTTAATAAAACATAATCGATGGGAAGTCGATATGGATATTTACCACTGATTTTGGCCCAGGTTGGAGCTCGAATCCAGATTTCTGGGTTCATACCACAGGGCGCTCACAATAACGTCACAACTTTACGCATATACGGACAAAGCTAAAGGTCCCAATTGTAGCCTCCACAGACTGTAGGGGCAAGTGTCGTTCGCGAGAACCTATGAAGGCGGCACGGTACACGAGGTCACCAAACACCACGCCACCCGCCTTTGTCTCCCCAGTGCTGATGTTTACACACCGCACCAGGTGCAGAACTCATTTAAGGCGGAGTCGACCTAGGAGAGACCGGTTTTATATATTCGCCACGAATGTTGGCCGTGAACGGAAATCGAACTCGGCTCGTCGTGTTCATAGCGCAAGTGCGCTAACCACTACGCCACCGCTCCCACAATATGCACACACAGACACACACCAACCTGTGCACGACACGCGCGTGCGCGCGCGCTCATGCTAACAGCGCTCGGCTCTCTAATTTGACAGCCAATTTGTTTTTCGTTGCATCTGCTCGGGCCACTTTGAGGATTTACAAATCGGGTGGCCTCTACGACATCAGGAACAGCGGCGGCAGCAGCGGCTAAAAATAGCCTCGGGTGACGGGGGAGGAGGCGACGGGGGCAAGCTTCCAGCTCCATCCGCACCTCCCCCAGGAGTAAGGGGTGGAGGGAGGCTCTGCGATGGTGGATGGATACGAGGAGGGGGTGAGTCGCAGAGGGACAAGAGAACGAGAGACGGAGAGAAGCGGTGGCATACGTGCACAGGGGCCTCCTTCCTTCAGAGAGGGGGGGGGGGGGAAATGATGTGTCTGTCTCCCACCGTGGCTCTCTGTGTGCCTCTGTGTCACTTTATCACTGCCCTGTGTATCCGTCTGTCTCTTTGTGTGTGCAACACGTGCACGTGAACAGTGTACTCACTTCCAACCCCAAAATGTATCTGCGCCTGTCTCTCTGCCTCTCTGTCCGCCTCTGTCTATTTATGTGGCTCTCTGTATAACTCTGTGTCTGTCTATGTGGCTGTCTGTATAACTCTGTGTCTGTCTTTGCCTGCCTCTCCCTATCTCTCTCCATCTATCCTTCTGTGGCTCTCTATGTGTCTCTCTCCGTGTCCCTCTGTCTGGTTTCACTCCATGTATCTGTCTCCAGGATCTCTCTCCATGTCTGTCTGTCTGTTTCCCTCTATGGCTGTCTGTCTTTGTGTTTGGCCCTGTGTCTCTGTCTTTCGGCCCCTTCCCGTCTCCACGCGACCCACTTCTTGTTACGATGGCTCTGGGGACGGGCAACGTCTGATGAAGAAATGCAGGGAATGGTGTCAAGGTGAACACCATCACGGCCAATGCTATCGATGCCACCACAGCTCATCATTAACGAATACATGTAGCGAGATCCTTCAACTGTTGCACGGTCAACACCCTCACGTGGCGTAGCATGGTTGGCGTGGACCCTGGTGCAAGGAATGAATCGGTGCCCCCTGTCCAATGTTGCCTCTCCCCTCCTCGTAGCCCAGCGCCGGTGCCCCTCTGGCACGTGTCGCTCTGGTTCAGCTGCACCACTGCGCACCTCTCCAATTGCCTCAACAACTCACTCCTCCATTGCCCTTCCCACGCTGTCTCTCACCTGCCCCCTCCATATCTGCCAACATAGGACCCCCTCCTCCACATCCTCCTCTTCATTCTATACATTGACCCACTTTCACCCAAACCCCTCTCCGCCATCAGGTCCGATGTTAGAAAGCGATCCCAGATATAGCATTAATTCTGCTTGAAAGGCACCTCATCAGCTTGTCTTACGCCGTGCTGCTGCTGCTCGCTACGTGCCTGGCATGCAACACAAAACGCAAGGCGTTTGCAACCGCGCTTTCTCCTACCTCGTGCAACCTGCGCTCCTATCCTGGGATGGAGTGGCGGAGAAGATGCCCCCCCCCCCCCTGCTATTCCTAAAAAGAGTCCTCCACTTACCAATCCTTTGCTCTCACTTCATCTTGTGCCACACTGGAGATTTTGTGAAGCACTTATCATTGTCTTCATCAGCAATGGTCTCTCCGCTGCGGGATAGAGGCCTCTTCAAGCCGTCACTATCTCTCGCAGCCACACGATGTCACTATCCTCCCAACTCTTGCACATCGGCTACATCTCATCGTTCCATCGCTCGGGTGGTGCTACCCCTGGATGCCTCTGCGCCGTTGCTCGCCACTTCGTCTTCTGTGACAGATTGGCTCCTAGCGCAGTGCCCAGCTACCGTCTACAGTATCTCAAGGTCCTGTCATCAGCATCATCAGCACCTACCCATGTCACCTCGTCGAAGGGAGGTAAGGGGCGGATGCAATGAGACCAGGACTTGTGTCCAAATTGTTGTGGGTATCTCGTCACTATATCCAGAGTTTAATTTCTCGTACATATTTTATGGGGGTGCACCAACACCCAATCCCGTTGACCCTGGCCCTCTCCACCCAGACAGCTGTGGTGGAGAACAGGGACATTTTACAGATTTCCAGACTGAAGTGAACCTTTTATTTTTCCACGTCAAAACATTTTCCAGTTGTCCGCACAAGCCACGACGCTCACGGTGGCCGTGTCCCTCGCCTGGCAACACGTTGTTCCACCCCACCCCAGAATTCCGATATCTGTGGAGACATCACCACGTGTGCTGGTGTCTCCAACCACGCCGATGCAGCCCGGCAACAAGAGCTGTGGTGTGGGAAGGAAGACGGCGGTGTCCCAGATAAGTTGTGACCCGCGTAACCCTCGCGTAGCGCTGGAAATAAAATCTATATTTGCATGCACAGCGAGACGAATGACTCCCGTGTAACAATGGTAGTAACAGGATGTATAATATAGCAAGGTGCCTGCTTCCACAGACGTATGTGATGATGAAGGTAGTGGTGGCGGTGGGGGGGGTGTAAGGGCTGTGTGTGCTGTGATGGGGATAATGAAGGCCTTTATCTCATCATTGGCCAAGGTAAATCCACTGCTGGATGAGGGTCTTGCTGTGGCGAGTATAGAGGAAGCACAGCGCAACAAAGTATGTTGGTGCACTGCCCACTCATGGCCGCCAGGTAGCGCTGCAGCATAACAAACAACCTGTTCGTGCATGGCTGGGTCAACCTTCCAAACACGATGGTGGTCCAGGCACTTTTTGCTTAGCTTGCGATATTTTGCGCAGCTACAACATATCAATAACAGACATTCTCGATACACTGCTGGGCGATGGCCTCCCAACGCCGCCGCCGTCTCTCAAGATCCTGCGTTGCAACGATCTACCTGCACACGCGAGCTAGAGTCATCGCTCCATCTCCCTTTGGTTTACGTCCTCTGGGACTCGTGCCATTGATTGGGTCATGCTGCTTATTATCCGTTGTTGTAAACATTGACAATGAATTCGTGGCCCTCTTTTTGGACACTTGCGGACACACCAAAGCCTATCATGGGGGGGGGACACGGGAACCACGCAAGGCGTTTGTGATCACGATGACACGCCCGAGAGGACATCCACCGCGGAGATGGAGCAATGATGACGACGACGACGAAGAGATGGGCTCGTGTGCAGGAGCTGGTATTGTGACATGGAGAGACCGTGAGAGGTGGCGACGGTTTGGGGAGGCACCTTAATCCGGCAGTGGATCAACAAAGGGAAACATTGTGTGATGCTCCTGCTGCTGCTGCATTGGCAGTGGTGCGCAAACAACACTCAACACAGTCATCAATAGCACTGCGTGTGGCCTTAAACGGAAAAAAGTATATACTAGGCGACGTTTCGGGCAATGACTCTACTTCATAACGTATACATTTAGAGGCCACAGAGAAGGAGTGGATCACAAGAAAAGCGACTGTGCAATCCATCTCTCTGGCCTGTCCATCTGCGTGCTATCAATAAAGGACATTGTCCAAAACGTCGACTATTATATTTGTTCCCTTCAAGGCCACAGACACACAGGGAGTGTTATTGACGAACGTGCTGAGCGTTTTGATAAAAATAGGAAATTTGGGTGTAAGTGTGCATATGGCAAGGCGACGCAACTTAATTCCACAACGTAATTGCCACTGCCGCATTCGTCGCGTTTTAACTAACGCAGAAGTAATTACCCACCAATAATGATCAATGAGTTATATCAACTTGAGCGAGCTCATTCAATGCGTGTTCCTGCTGCTGGCCAATCCGCGGCATGCTGCCAATTCCCCAAGCGCCTTTGAGCACGTGGGCGGTGGGGCGGCGTGACGTCACACCGTCATGGCCGCGCCCATGGGTAACGTGGGCGACGCCGCGCCGGGTAATGGGGACACGGGGACACGGGAGTCTGGGGCTGGAGACGGCACGGGGACACGGGAGTCTGGGGCTGGAGACGGCACGGGGACACGGGAGTCTGGGGCTGGAGACGGCACGGGGACACGGGAGTCTGGGGCTGGAGACGGCACGGGGACACGGGGCTCTGGGGACGAGCGCCATGGTTTGCACCTCTTCCCCGAGCGGCTGGTGCCTAAATTCAAGCGCGGGTTCGTGGCCAGCTTGAGGTGCAACTACATGCTAAAGGTCGCGCTGGAGTCGAGTAAGAGCGCCGCACAGCACGCTACATCACGCTGTGCACCACGCTACACAGCACACGACATAGCACACGACACACCGCACTCTACACCACGCTACACGACACACTATAGGTCACACCACACGACACACCACTCTACACCACACACCATGGTGCACACTGCACTATAAACAACACCACACCCATGCGCTACACACCGCCCTGCACGGCAGCATATACAACAGCACACTTCACACTAAGGAACCACGCTATCTCGTACAGATGTTTCGATACTCCCATTTTAATCCATTGCTTTTATTTCCAATGGTGCAACCTGCATTTTTTTTGTTTCTTTCAGATCCGTATGCAAAACTTCTACAAGATGCTTTGAAGAGGTCGGGGTGGTACGTGTTTATTTTTTAATTGGAACGCTTAATTATGTTAACCCTAACTCAATATCTGGTGCCGTTGCGCGGTAGTTAGCGCACTGAGTTCTTGACCAGAGTTCGATTACTGCTACCGGTGGCGAGTGATGTCCGATCCTGAACCCTCTTCCTGCTGAGATCTCCCCCCGCCTCTGTCCACCGAGCAGTATCAGACCACTTTATCAGGAATGTATCTAAACTGGGGGAATCTGATGAGCTATAAAGCTCTTTTCCACCGTCGCTTCACAGACGTTCAGCACCGACGGGGAGTGGAAGCTCGCTGCCTTCACGCGGGCCCACTCTGTTCAGTGAGAAATCGGCACCTGCCGAGAAGCACGGTTGGCTACGTGCGGTGCGAAAAAAGTTCAACATACAAACAAATCACGACGAACGCTATCAACGCAGCGATCGATAATCGATCATCCCGAGCACCAACACAAGCTGCTACACCAACAGCCATCGTCAGGGCCAAACAACGCCCCAGTTCGACACCGGGACAAGGATCCTCCGACTGAACATTGAGGAGGGACCCTGTCGGGCGATGTGATAGAGTTTCGTGTCTCGCTGACTTCATGACAACCAATAACGTCGATCGAGAATCGATGGGAACAAAAGTCAACCGGCAGGTCGCGGTGTGGTGGGGTAAAGTGTGAGCACCCCCCACCCTTACCAAGACGTCTGGCCAGCGAGGAAGAGTAGGCAAAAACCCTCTAGAGGCTAAATCTTGACTTAAAGCTTTAGTGACTGCAGGAATTCATATTCTTTGGGTATTTCGGAAAAGTCACGTAGATAGGTTCACAATTAATAAAAAATAAACTAAAAATCGTCTTCAGGTGGGAAAAAGGAAGACGATCGCTTGTGTTGCGATCGAATCGTCGTGGTTTTTTTTAAAATAAAATTTTAACCTATCTATGTGACTTTACCGAAAGACTCAAAGAATACCTTCTCGAGGTGTCCTCTAGAGCTCCCTCTAGTGGAGGCACTTCCACTGCAGTGGCGTGAGCAAGCTATTGCAGGGCTGCACCTTTGTCTTTTATAAAACCAGCCTCTGCGTCTGTTCGGCGCAGCTGTGTGCTCTATCGATGTTATTGTATCCACTCCGTGCAGGGCTGGGCCAAGTTGAACGAAAGTGAAGTGGCTCAATATTGGTCGATGATCGCGTCAGCCCAGTTGTTTATTTCGCCGTAGACTATGCTGGATTAGACGTGATAGATCTTGTAAATGGGGCGAGTCATTGGGCGTGCTAATGCAGCTCTCATAGCGATTGTCATTTTCACATCGGTGTTGCAAATTGCTTTTAGCCTCGTATTGGTGTGTGCTTTGAGTGATAAGTGACTTTTTTAATGTTCTGACATTTTTGCCCAATTTTATCGCAATTCTGCTTCCGACCTCGTGTCATTGAGGCGAATCACTGTGCTCATTCAAAATTCTGACAGAGCAATGCAACCCGCAGTGTTAGAACTACATCCGATATCTCACAAGTTATCTCTGGTCCGTACAATAGAGGGAAGCATTTTACAACCTGCTTTGCAAGATTGCGTTCTATCGCGGTGGGGGATCGACACATCCTTCTGGGGGTCGATAAAACGAGCACCGCTTTGTAGGAGGTAAATATTGGTTGTCCCGTCGGTAGATTTTGCCTCTGACATACAAGTGTGGAATAAAAAAAACTGGCTTAGAGCTGTAAACTGCTCATTTGAGTGAGGAAACCACTGACGGATGTTGAATAGAAACGCACGCGTCTTGCCAGGCTGTCGTGGGGGGCGACCGTGCCCCCAATTCAAATGTTTGCTTCACGAGCTCGTGTTGTTTTGTGCAGTACCGCGTACAGGGATCGACACTTCTCATGCGAAGAGTGCGACAATAAAGTTGCCGGGGGATTCGACTCCAACACATCACAGGTGCTTCCTTACAAACCCCCTGCGTTTGACCTTGGCCTGTGAGCATCCTGCTTTTTTTCTTCTTGGTTCTTTCGGTAAAGTCACGTAGAAGGGAAGCCATTCAGACTCTGTCTACGTGACAGACCTGTTCTCCACCTGAAGACGGCTGCTTGCGTTGTGGCCGAAACGTTGTGAGAATTATTTTGTTTTATTTTTATTATTTTATTACTTCCCTTCTACGTGACTTTACCGAAAGAACCAATAAGATTAATCCCTGCAGTCACGAAAGCTTTAAATCGAAAGCATCCTGCTTTGTCGGATAAGTCACCACTGGTGCGAGGCTTCGGGCCTCTCATTTAACTCTCTCGTCAAACCTTCCCAACGCACGCCACGTTATCTGGGATTGGCGGTCTGGTTTAATGATGTCAGGGTTACACACAGAACCAGTCTAAAGTAGGTTTGTAACGATTAACTGCGTAAACGATTTGAAATATTACGATTTGGTGGCATATTTTTTAACGATATTTAATTCATAAATTTTGTGGTATATTTATGCGAGAAGAGACTTTTGTTGTCTTTTTGCTGTCTCCGTTGTATTGTTTCTCACTTGTCCAATTTAGTTTGGCTTCCATTCCGAAATGTAACACTAGCTCATAATTTGCATGTAACTTGCATAATTGTAAATAACAGATTCTGACGCGCATGATCCGATGCATGTATCGTGACCCTAAGAATCGCTATTCATCATAGAATCAATGCATCCTCACATGCTTAGTGTCAAGAGGCTACAGCAGCCTATGGTCGTGGACTGCATTGGTCTGACGGCATGGTTGTGACCCTAATCCCACCCTCGAGTGCCAGCAGTTAATGAACGCTCAGCGAACAACTGGGTGTGCTGTTCACTGCAAACAACCTACCGCGGCCACTTTCTTTTGTTCACGAACGTGATGTCACTTTCACTAATGTCACCCCATGTACGCCAAGTTTACACGTAACCCCCCCTCCAGCTCTTTTGGCCTGTGGTGAGCTATGAGAATTGATGTTGGCTCACGCTCACAAAATACTGCACACTCCTGGGCTACAGATTGCGCTGTGTGTTTAAATGCCACAAGGACGTTCGAGATTATTTTCAGTCGCGTATTAAATAGCTTTGTGGGAGCGATTTTCGTGCTCTGCGAAGAAGCAGCCAGAGTGACCCACGAAGGAAGGCCAGTTGACCGAGAGGGCACGGCAAAACTTTTGTCGAAAAGTTAGCGGCGCAATTTCCCATCCTCCTCCGTCCCGCCCCTCTGTTTCTACATCATGACATGAATTCACCGCGGACGGCGCACAGACACGACGCGTTTGTCGGTTGGCGGTGTGCCTGCGCCCAGGTGGTGATTTGCCAGAACAACGTGCAGAACCAGCACTACATGGACCGCGTGGTGACGCACGAGCTCATCCACGCCTTCGACCACTGCCGCGCGCACGTCGATTGGTTCGGCTCAATGGACCACATGGCCTGCTCCGAGGTGGGTCCCCAGCAGGGTCGTTTGCCGCTTATCGTTTTTACCCCAGATGCAGCGTTTTCAAAAATGTATTGTGGATTCCAAAAATTCAAGAACTGGTTCCGTGACATGCGATTGAACACACGGTGACTGAATGGAGCGAACCGTCGGACATTGTGCCAAACGACGCACGGTGCAACCCGAGGACACGCCAGAGAACCTGGACCGTGCAACTGCAAAAAACCTACGCGATATAGAATAAGGGGTATTTCTGATTCGTGTGTCTATTGTAGTCAAGTTTATTTATTTAATCAGGTGAGAACTCGCGGTACCAGCATAATCTCATATGCAAGAGTGTCCTAGGTTATAACAAAATCATAACGAAGTACAGCTATAAAGCAACCTATAAATCATAATATACAACTTATCAAATGAGTAATCGAAACGATGCTAAATAATCAATTCCCGTGGTGCAAGTTGGGTCGGGGCAGATACATTTTAGATCATGATGGTACAGATACAATACATTTTACAGCGGCATTAAAAGAGATGGTGTGTCTATTGTATTCAGCCACATCTGTGGTTTGTTTTTACGAGCACCTGGTGGCGTGCGATGGTGACGTGTGGCATTGGAAAGGGGCTACACGAACCGGGTGTGTGCATTATGGGTGTAAAATTCATTGGTTTCATGGTTACGTGTGCTCCCCGGTCGCCACAAAAGGCTGCTGCTTTCACCACGATTCAAAAACACAGTTATTAGTCTGACCGGGAGAGTGAGTCGATTAGCAAATTTGAGAATTAATTTCCTTTTTCCCGTAATGGTTCTAGAAACTCATCCTAGCAATAATTATAATTTCCAGCCATTTTTGGATGAAGGCCTCTCTACGCTGTATCAATCCTGGGGGTTGCCGGACCTGGTTAAGATTGCACCACCGATATCAGCTCGACAATCGAACATACATGGGTCACCGAAATCCAAGTGTAGCGTATTGCTACACTGCTCCACCGCTCTACCCCCCCCCCCCCCCGCCCGACTCTGTTGCCACCATGTGGGAATCCCGCTTTAATGAACGTCCCATGCTAACATACGATTAGTCTGTCCCTACCGGTGGTCGTAATGCAAAAATGTGGTACGTGCAAAGTTTTTTGTTTGTTTACAAGTATAAAAAAAAAGGCAATCGTAATTTTATTTCTTTCAGATCCGAGCTGCGAACCTCAGTGGGGATTGCTCCTTCCAAAACGAACTCAGGCGATACAACTTTGGACTGAAAGGCCATCACCAGGTACTTTAAAAAAATGTAATCACAGTTGCGAAGCACCAACCCAAAACACCAAGTGGTCAACAACGTAACGGCACCTCTGAATCTCTAATAGATGAGTGAATACACAAGTACGTACGTACGTACGTGTGCTCCTTGTGGTGTTTGGTACCAATGTATGGCTCTCCGCTTTTCAAATTTAAATAGCTCGTTCCAACTGATTTCCCTTGGCCACAAACTGTAGTACATGTCCCGCTGAAAAACATTCGAGCTCTGCTTCAGACATGTTTCTGTGACCTCCATCCCTCCCTCCAACCAGCCTGGCAAAACTTTTCTTTTTATAATATAGTATTAAATGATATGAGTATAGCATAACACTGAAGCCACCTCGTCCAGATCTGGAGGTAAACCCTTCCACCTGCCAGCGCTCAACAGCTTCTGAACTCCTGATTACGGCCAATGCGCAATGTGGGCGACGTCACGCGAGCCAGACAAGTTTTTTAATATAGCACGGCACTCTTGCCTGAACTGTGCCACTGTAGACTGTGAAACATCGCACCTTGCACTGAGAATGGCACGAATGCCAAATCGTACGAAGCGATGATGATCAACTGTGCCCACGCATGCAGACGTGCGTGCGCAACCGAGCCGTCTTGTCCATCCTGGCGGTGCGGCCCGCGACTGTCGAGGAGGCCAAGGCGGCCGTGGATCGCGTGTTCGAGCCGTGCTTCAACGACCTGGAGCCCTTCGGCCGCATCCCTCTGAGCAAGAAGCACGCCAAGTACGCCTTCCTGCACCATGAGTCACGCGACCGCTACGAAGCCAACCTCTAGTGCACCCGATGGGATGTTACCCCGGTAAAATGATTATCGTCGCCTCTTGATTACGAAGGTGCTTCGGGAAGTTAAGACGCACCCAAACCTGAAATCTCACTCTCCCAAAGCTCGACAGCCCTGTCGTCTGCAGGCTATGATGGAGTCAGCTCTCAGGAATTTGGACTGGGAGGAGATTTGGCACTGCCCCAAGACTTGGGAGAGGAAAAATGTTTCCAGCTGCAAAATGGAGAGCACTTGTTTAAAACGCACAGCTTGAATGATTGCTCATAAAAATTACTGATTTATATATAAAATAAAAACTGGAGTATTTACTCTTGTAAATGTGATACTTGTGAAGCAGCACTTGTGGAAGTACCTTGTGTGAAATGCGAATAAAAAAAGTTTGATACAAAGAATCCATATGAAGTATGGAAAGTACGTGTATAGAAACTTAAGTATAAAATCAAAGCCACACCATGTACAAAAATAAAAGCCAACTGAGAAAACCACTGGACTATTACATTTATTACAAGTGTTTTTTTATATCAACCCAACAAAATACCTTGTTGCTGAGTGGTATGTACAAATGTATTGAACCATATAAATTTAAACCACAAACATGTGGAAGTACAGGTTAGGTAACTACACCAGACAGCACATTCACTCATTTGAGCAATACACAGTATTGCAGATTAAATATATAATGTTAAACACACTCCAAGGCAATCCCCATGGAAGTTTCCACCAATGATAAGCTAGCTACCCATGATGACCATGCTTTCTCAGGTGACCTTTCGGCATGTTCACCACTGCAACAAAACTTTGCGATTGAGGGGCATGATTCCCGGCATATTTGCGTGAGCGTAAGAATGGATTTTAATAGCAATCTTTGAATCTTTACATTCCTAACAAAATATTAAATGGGCCAAGACCGAATGCCGTACTTGGCAACACCCGATTGGCGGCAGGTTGACAGTGGTAACACTTGTGCCCCACAGCAAGACGCCCTGTGGTTCGATTTCCAAGTTGGGCACCTTTCTGTGTGGAGTTTGGATGTCTCCCCTCCCCCTGTTCTGCATTCGATGTCTGGTTTCAAATAGAACCAGCCAATGGAACTGGTATTGATCGAAAATCCCCGTGCTGGACAATTACCTGCAAATTACTCAATTGGGATTATAGTATTGTCCCCGACTGCAAAAACATGACAGGATCCTCCTAAAAAGAATCTTGAAACTCGGTGAAGCTTTCCTGCGTAAAAAAATCGAGTTTTGCAAAAAAAAATTAATTATGCAATAACCTTATCTCATGAACATTATCACAAGCCATATTTATTAGCCCTATACACCAACTGTGGTACCAAATTCTGCTGTGGCCCATGAACTAAAAAGGCAGTAGGGAGTCTGCTCACTTGATCATCATCAATTACAGCAGCCACTGGCTGTATTTTAACACCACGTGATTTTCAGATCACATTTCTCCGCTGCCATTAACGACAGAATGCAGACAGGCATTGCCCTGTTATAATAGAACAAGATGCAATGATAGAGGTGACAGCGCTATCACAAATAGCCTTTTTGGAAGCAAAACACTTTGTTCAGTTGGGAAAAACATCCTTTGAAAGCAACCAGGTTTACAACGAGCCTCGAACTTTGCATCAGCTTGCCAGTGAATAGTTAGGGCTGGTTTCAGGTTAGGCATCTTGGGTATAGATTAAGTCTGCCATAAGGAATCCTATGAGCAGTATATGGAGTGCCGAGTTACGTGTGAATTGTATTTAATGTCACCCAAAAAACTAAAGAGCAGTGCACTGCGAGCCAGGTAACCTAAGTTTGATTTCTAGTCGACTAATATCAGTGGTAATGCCAGAACTGATCCTGAGCGTCCCCTTCACCAAACCATACGAACCGATGTGAAGCATGGTCAAATAACCTCCATGACTGGTGTGGGAGGTCTTCATTAAGCAGTGGATTGACACAGTTGTACACATTAGGCATGCTTAGGCTGTATCCCAAGTTGTAATACACGAGTTAATGATAAAGACCCTGAAGTGACTGCATGCACGTTGCCGTGGCACTGCAGCGACATCATCGTGGGGCCATTGAACAGTACGGCAGTCACTCCACAGTGACATCACTAGAACACCACGGCGGTGCATCTGATAGTCAATTCAATTATATTTTCCCATTAACAAACCCCCCAAAACTCATGTTAAAGACCACTTGTGACACAGCCTACATGTGCAGCCACAGAAATATTTAGTTTTTTGGGTTGCACCGTCAAACTCGTGCGGCAAGCTGCCGGGTTGCGGCAAGGTGGATCGTGGGGTGGAGTCCCCGTGCACACTCTCACTCAAACTCATCCACTTCGCCCACATAGTGACACATGTCGTCATAGCTGAGCTTGAGTAGTTGGTCCGACTGGCCCGTGAGCTGCACGGTCGCCTGGCAGTTGTTTTTGTCCCTGTTCAAGATGAGCCCCACCTGCGGAGGTTGTTGCACACAAATATTTGGAGATCGTCAGAGCTAGCCACCGTAGTGCTGTGAACACCAAAAATGTAAGAGAGATCAGTCTTCATCAGTATAAAATATCTCAGTCGCAAGGGGGTTAAATACACGTGGTGAGGTGGAAGGACGCTTTAGTTTCTGGTTCTTCACAGTGTTACCTGTGGCTCACTGCTAGGGAAACTAATGAAAGTCAGTTGTGTAAGATCACCTAAGACTGCTGAGGCTATACACAAACCATTGCACATAATTGGGGTTGCAGTAAATTGTAACCTTCATTGACGAGTACCGACCTGTCCTTTGTATTTCCCCAGTACCACCATGACATAATCCTTGTCCGTCTTGGGTATTATGGTCTCCAGCATGGACTGCTCGATTCCTTTAATTAAAAAAAATCCACAAGTAATGCATGTAATACTTTATAAAAATATGAAAAATTACTTTTAAACAATGTCAAGGAATTTTTATTTTAACGATTTTAGAAGTGCCTTTGTTGAGGTGAGGAGAAAGCAGGTGATGGAATACCTTCCAATATCTGGCCTTCTTCTGTCCTGCAAACGCATATCTCTGGCGTGACCACATCATCCACCGTCATCTGCCAGGAAAGAGGTAAACACAGTTCATCAAGAAGCAAAAGGTGCTCACCAGGGTTAATCATATTCCGATTCTCACATCCCAGCATGGTCTGCCTTTCCATATTTCCAGTCTTTGGACAAACATCCTAATGTAGGACTACAGAGCTTGGGCAAGATCTGTCTTAATATGAATGCACTCTGCCCACCGCGTGCCACACATGCAAACACACAAAACCTCTTCATTTGACTTGCTGCTCTCTACGTCACTGAGATTTCGGTTTCTAGAGCAACTAAAAGCACGTGAAGCAGATGAGTAAGCCGGTCCAAAATTAAATATCCATACATTTTATTTTGTTGTACCACAATTGGACACGCAGAATATATCGCACCAGTGCTGCAACCTTGTGGCACACCTTCTTGTTGTAGTATTTGCCTCCCTTGTAAAACTTGTCCACAAAACGGACCCGCAGGTCCCTGCGCAGCCAGCGCGGCTTCGAGGAAGTACTCGCAGCCACCACCTGTTTGCTGCTTTTCCTAGAGCAGAGAATGAGTGGAAGTAAAATGAAAGCACGGTCAAATAAAACACATTGTACAACCAGTTTTAAGGTTCATGCTATGCAGTCGAGGGCCAAAGTTGTTACCGGCCGTCGTCTTTATCTTCGTGTTTCCTCTTTTTGCCGTGTCGGTCGTCGTCGTCCTTGTGCCGGTCGTCTCTCGGTCTGCCGGCTTTGCTCCCGTCATGGGAGTTCTTCTTACCCTCATCCCTCTTGCCGCTGGAGCGACTCTCCCGGTGCTCATCCTCCCTTTCCCTCTCTTTCTTCTCCTGCTTCTCTTTATCTTTGTGCGCCTTGCTTAAGCGACCTGTGGGCGATTCAGATGTAAAACTGTTACAGGAGAGGATGCAATCGGAGCGCCACTCCAAAGCAGTGTGATGCAGCAACTGTTAATCACGTACTGAGGTCTTTGCTGTACTTCTCGTACTCCTCCTTGTTCACCAGACGCGTCGCGTACTGGCTGATGGTGATCACATTTCCCCCGATCGCCAGACGCAAAACCAAGCGTGCGTTGTCTGGGTCCAAGCCATCCACCTGGCGAGGCAAAGTTAGCAGATACATTCCACAACCATTCCAATGTTCAGAAAGTTGCACAGAAGACAAGGCGAGTTTATGGGTTCTTATTCGGGTTGTTAATTTGTATCAGTGTTTTTCATAATCGCATGCAAACAATGAAAGAAGTTAATAATGTTACCACACATATCGAAGTGTCTTATATGAAAAATACAAGTGCAACTTCCCATTCGAACTTACCACACGGTGAGTGCCTTATGATGGCTGCCGCTGACCAATTACATTAGAATGCGCTGTGCGGTTAGAATGTGCACACCAATTTCCTTAAACGTCAACGGATTCCATGACTTTCAGAAATAACCCAATCCATAACTGATTTTCAAAAATCTACTGTTTCATTAATGAAGTGTAGCTGCTGTACCTTCGCATACAAGTCCTTGTGTGGCCCTTTCTCCACAACCACAAACGCGCCGGCCGCGTAGCCCTTGGGCTGCTCCTCTGGGCGCTTCTCGCCCGGCTTGAGTGGCCGCTGAGGCTTCATGTCCTTGAGGGCATCGGCCGCCGAGCGGTCCGCTCCCAAACCCAGGCCCTTTGGCCTCACCTCGGCTTCAATAGGCTTCACGTCTCTGTGCGCAAGAGGTACACGGGCGTGCAGAGTGTTTAAAGAGGTGTGTACACCAGACGTGTAATGATTTACACCACTACCACCCCCTTGCCGATTCGATGAGTTTTAACCATTTTGGATTGTCATTTAATTTTCATCCTTTGCAGTCATCTGTTTCATTTTCCTCATGATACATAATTACATGAATTACATATATTTTTCATAAGTTGTGATACATTCGGACACATTTTTCTATTTTATGAGTATAACATTTTAACTGATGAATCGATATATTCCCAGTCTACATTACAGTGTGCAGAGTTTGGTAGTTTTCTGAAGCTGTAAGACTGCTGCTGCAAGACTTACTGTTTAAAAGTTCTGCCAATGCCTTCCCCTTTCTTCCAACCCATTCCTCTTAGCATTGCCAAGCCATACGCCTCGATGGGGACTGCAGCGTAGTCTGCCTCCGTTGCCTAAGAGAAGGAATGCAGAGCTCATTAAAACGCAAACACGCAAAGAATGACAGAGCATGAAAAAACATTTGAAGATCATACTGACTTCAAAATCCTCCATGGACTCTCCACTGCCTACCTCTCCCCTCTCATCTCTACGTCCCTCAACAACGTATTCTAACAGACACCTGACACTCGTTTTTAACCACCACTCCAGCCATCTCTGTGAAGCACTCACCGACTCGGGTCTCAGACTGACGTCCACTTTGTCCCCATCCTCATATCCGTCAGGGACCTTGTTCTGCATGAGCAGTGGGATCGCGAGGTTTTCATCAACCTTCTCACCCCCATTCTGCAGTTCTTGGAACCTCCGTGACTCTGCACAGCACACCGACCCGTACAAATAAAACATTGCAAACAATGCAAAGTTATTATTTTTCACAGATAAGGCTCAATGAGCTCTACAGCTCTTTTATAGAAGCGACCTGGCCACAAACAATGACATGGCTTATCACATAGAAATGTACAGCAGCCAAATATTCTCAAGTGCTTTTCTCGGCACTAAAATTACTCTATATTAAGTCCAAACTGGAAAGTCCCACTGTCAATAATTTGCCTTTGACAATGTGATCGTATATGATTTATTTATCCAGGGAAGCCTCATTGAGTCTCAAGACTCTTGTTAAAGAGGGTCCTGCACTGGAAGATTTGGACAAAATACATTCATGAAATTGTACTTCAATCTCATACCAAATCCACCTCAGCCTATTTGTGGGTTTGATAAATCTACGATCCACCAACCCATTCGTCAAAAGCTCTCGATTCCAACCGTTAACTGCCACACCTGGCTGATGGCTCCCAACACTCAAGTTGCCTTGTCAAATACCCAAGAGCATTTCTCTTGCAGCCTGCCCACCACAAGTTAAACACAACGTCTCCCTAACCTTCCAACAGCTCTTGGATGGCCTTGGATTCCACATCGTCCTTCTTTTGCCCTTGATTCTCTTGCCCCTCCGTGGTATTGTGCTTCTCCAGTGCAGGGCCCACATATCGGTTCTTTTGGATCAGTGGTATCACCAGCTCCCCTACCTTCTCCTTGGATTTGACGCTGCAAACATTAGGAAAAAAATGCACTCTCAATTTGTATCGACATTGTGCCTTGACTTTAACCACATCTCAAAATACTGACGAGTTGGTGTACACACCCCTGTAATGGCTTGCCATGTAACATCGCTCTATTGTAATTGTCATTCAGGTAGTGGTTCCCATAATTCAGTCCTCGCGACCTATCAGGGACCACCTTTCAACTTTTACCAAACCAATCCACTCAAAATATACACGTGAAGTAGTTACACGACGCATGCATCTGATTGGTAAACAAATATGTAACATCCTCGATATTAATTTAAATCGGCATTCTAAGGTAGGACACAATATAGTGGTTGATTCAGCACCCCGTGTAGCCGTTGCTATGCTAAGTGTTTAGTCATAAAGTGCATAATACAGGTTTTTCTGCGTTAGATCGCGTAAATATAAATGTAATGTTAAACCCGTCACCACCCGACGCAGCCAATTAGTACGGTTTGTCAAGTAAACAGAACATGCCAATTCATTACTAGTACAGCACCGGTGTGTAGGAGAGCAAATCCACAACATTTACAATTTGAGTACGACGTTTCGCCAGTAATTACAACCAGCTTCATCAGGCGACAGGCAGTCATCAAGTGCGCAGTGGTTGGTGTCTTCTCAGCCCACGTGCTGAACGATGGATTGTTAGATCGCAGTCGACGGCTTACAAACTTCACTCGGCAGTGAATAGACCAGACGCCGTTAGAGTTATTAATCAGGGAAACTAAGTTAAAACAAACTCACTCAGTATGAATGAAACTCAAGTTGATTAATAGAATTGCAATGCGTCCCTTCCACTGCCAACCCCCCGCGCTTGCCTGCTTAATACCCCCGGTAACGGTGCGCATTGCGGGTAAACAAAACCAGGCAAGACGGGGGGGCCCGTGTCAAAACCTCTAATTTTAGGCCGCGACGCTCGTCCACTTCGCGAACCTCACGACCTCCTTCCCCTCCACGCCCGTGACGAAGTCCGTCTCCTCGGCGCTGGGCTTCTCATCGTGGAGAACGGACGCCTCCTTGACCCTGGAGCGGTCGATCTTCTTGCTGAAGCCGAACGACACGGCCACCTTGGCCCCGGCGTCGCCTTCGCTCGGCTCCATGTTCCCAGCCGCGCGCGACATCGGCTGATGACGTGCGGACGTCTAGCGGTGACGTCATGAGCTGTGGCAGCCAATCAGAAGGCAATCTGCGTAAATGTGATGCAGCTGGCGGGAAATTCAAACGTGAGTTTACATTGTTTAATGTACAACGCCAATTGTCTTATTTATTGGTGCCATATATTCTCCCTTAACGACGCTCATTGTTAAGTTGACGTTATTTAGAAATGTTTGCATCTAACCCAGGACCCACATCTGACAGAGAGGGCTCTTGCCCACACACATCTGATACAGTAGTTCACTCGCATTAGTTCAAGCAAGCTTGACTGCTGATGAGACACTGCATTTCAAATCCGACCGATGGTTTGCTTGGTTTGAACTAATGCTGTTGAAATGGTGCACTCTCACAAGGCCGTGCGGCCGATGGGATGTGTTAAAAACATTGGTTTTATCTATGGACTGGAGGTGTTATTGTCTGCTAATTTATAGCTGGAAGGTAAGATGATTTTAACAATGGAATGCCACACCAAAGGGAGGCAGCTCACTATAGCGATGACATTGTTTTGTTTATCGGAACTACGTGGATTGTTCCACCATGAGACCGTTAAATTGTGACGGCTTGGGGAAGCCTTCATCCAACAGTGGATAGATCATGACTCATCATGATGACTGATTCATTAATATACTCTAATCATCCTTAAATCATGATTGACACATTATAGTAATGATCACTGACAGATGAATGATACATTATGGTGATAATAATAACTGCTACATTACTGTGTTACGATAAGTAATGATTACAACATTTATGGAAAGAAATATGATCGATATAGAAACGTACACGTCATAAATGCTGATTGTGATTATGGCACCAGATGATGGTCGATAAATTACGACTGACTGATTTTTATGATGACTGATAAATTATGATGCTGCTAATGCCACTACGATATGAATGATGAACACTTACGAATGCTTAACGCGTAAGCCTTCGCAGCCAATATGATGCATGATGGTGTTTTTTTTGGGTCAGACAGCCTTAGGAAAATGTGTGTCGTAAGCCCTCCTCCACCCGACACAGCCAATGAATAAAGTTGTCACTTGAATAAACGTGGCAATGCTCAGTGACTGTGTTACTGATTCAGCACCACCGACAATGTTGGAGAGCGAGCCACAACACCTAACAATTGGATCGTCTAAATTTTGATTTAAAGCTTTCGTGACTGCAGGGATTCATATTCTTGGTTCTTTCGGTAAAGTCACGTAGAAGGGAAACAATAAAATAATAAAAATATAAAACAATAAAATTCTCACGACGTTTCGACTGTTTTATATTTGTATTATTGTATTGTTTCCCTTCTACGTGACTTTTCCGAAATAACCAAGAATATAATTAAGTCGTCGTTCGACGTTTCGCTGCTCATTGCACATTTTTGGTTTCTACAACAGCCGGTTCACGAATCACCAGCCGAATGAACTTGATGAACAATATTAAACAACGATGAGTTGATGACGATCACCCTTGGCCGACTGCTGCTTCTGCTCTATGATCACTGTTACATTGCTTATGGCTTTATTTGGGTGATTTCGAAAAGTTTTTTGGTATGGCCATGTTTGTTTGTTGTAGTACGGAGTTAGAATGATGGCTTTAATCTAAGTTGTCTTGTTGTTGTTTGACTTGCATCCCACTGGGATTTTTGCACAGCGTTGGTGTACGGTGCTTTTATTTCTGGAAGACTTTGCAGTTTTTTCCTGGATTTTTCTGTTTGCGCATAGCCACTTTAAGATGTTTTCTTGTTCCTGTTTTTTGTTTGTTGCGGTTGCACCCGATTCAAGAGCCGAATGGCTCACAGGGCTACACCAAATAAATGAAACTGAAATCTCTGTCCATCCGCCAGGTGGCCTCCTAAGAGCCCTTTCGCACAGCCAGCCAACCACCCCAACTCCATCATCAACAAGCGTGGCTCAGCGAGTTGGGCCCTCGAGGGGGCGCCAGTGGCACGCACGTGGGGTCCTTGGTGGCGGGACGGCGCTGGGAGACGGGACAAGGGGTGGTGGTGGTGGTGAGAGATTCAGGAGGGAGGAACAAGAAACTGAGAAGAGGAGGAGGGTCGAAGCCATTGCGTCTCGGCGTGCGGGCGGATACGGCATTAGCACTGCGGGTCAGAGTGGTTGGGTCACCACCACCACCACTACCACGCCATATAGCTTAGCCACTGCGTAAGTACGTGTGTACGTACACGTTAGAGTACGCAGTCATTGCGAATCGCACATTATTGATACGTGCATACAGTGTACGGCGAGAAGACTGCAACTTTGGAACCGGGAGCGCTGCTACAAAGTTAATTTGGGTTTGATTCAGGCGCCGAGTTTTGAGTAACGTGTGCGCGACAACTTCAGTGATGCAAACCAAACTACAGTACTGTAGACAGGCAGATGGACGTATGAGCTTCGTATTCGTGATGTTTTGTAACCATCGAGACCACAAGTCTCTGTTTTAAAGGAAGCTCTCGAAAACGTAAACAATCGCCTCGATTCGGTGAAGACTTGCGAAGCTGGCCCCAGTCAAGAAGGGTCCCTTCTTCAGTCGTTCATTGAACAATTAAGTCCCTCCATCGCTCCCTTTCTCGGACTATACTGCCGGATTATTTGTGCTGGACACCACGAAGGAGGGCCACCCTTGCCTGAAGAATTGAGAACGATGGGAGCCAGATACCCCCTTGGACATCATCACCAAGCCCGCATGGGGATCTCCCCGCCTCGATGAGAACCCAGCCGCGCGGTCTCCTCTGCGTAAACCTCCGTCGCCTCCTCCTCCCGGACGTCGTGGACCCGCAGCCCCCTGGCCCCACTGCTTGCCGACGCCGTTGGGGGCTTCGTGTCAGGCTGACATTGGGACCGGGTGAGGCCACCACCACCACCACCACAGTCATCTGCAGGTGAGCGAGGTGCCACCATTCAGTTTTTTGATGCACTCACCTTTCTCCTTGACTTTTGTCCACGAATGATGTTGAGATCCATGCGGGAGGGGTGTTGAAATGGGGAGGGATATTGATGTGGGTGAGGGATATTGATGGGTGAGGGATATTGATGGGTAAGGATATTGATGGGTGAGGGATATTGATGGGTGAGGGATATTGATGTGGATGAGGGATATTGATGGGTGAGAGATATTGATGGGTGAGGGATATTGATGTGGGTGAGGGATATTGATGGGTGAGGGATATTGATGGGTGAGTGATATTGATGGGTGAGGGATATTGATGTGAAGCATATTGATAGGTGAGTGATATTGATGGGTGAGTGATATTGATGGGTGAGAGATATTGAGGTGGGTGAGTGATATTGATGGGTGAGGGATATTGATGGGTGAGGGATATTGATGGGTGAGGGATATTGATGGGTGAGGGATATTGATGGGTGAGAGATATTGATGGGTGAGTGATATTGATGGGTGAGAGATATTGATGGGTGAGTGATATTGATGGGTGAGAGATATTGATGGGTGAGGGATATTGATGGGTGATGGATATTGATGGGTGAGGGATATTGATGGGTGAGAGATATTGATGGGTGAGGGATATTGATGGGTGAGGGATATTGATGGCTGAGGGATATTGATGGGTGAGGGATATTGATGGGTGAGGGATATTGATGTGGGTGAGGGATATTGATGGGTGATGGATATTGGTGGGTGAGGGATATTGATGGATGAGGGATATTGATGGGTGAGGAATATTGATGGGTGAGGAATATTGATGGGTGAGGGATATTGATGGGTGAGGGATATTGATGGATGAGTGATATTGATGGGTGAGGGATATTGATGGATGAGGGATATTGATGTGGGTGAGGGATATTGATGGATGAGGGATATTGATGGGTGAGGGATATTGATGAGTGAGGGATATTGATGTGGGTGAGGGATATTGATGGATGAGGGATATTGATGGATGAGGGATATTGATGGGTGAGGGATATTGATGGATGAGGGATATTGATGGATGAGGGATATTGATGGGTGAGTGATATTGATGGGTGAGGGATATTGATGGGTGAGAGATATTGATGGGTGAGTGATATTGATGGGTGAGGGATATTGATGGGTGAGTGATATTGATGGGTGAGGGATATTGATGGATGAGGGATATTGATGGGTGAGTGATATTGATGGGTGAGGGATATTGATGGGTGAGTGATATTGATGGGTGAGGAATATTGATGGGTGAGGGATATTGATGGGTGAGTGATATTGATGGGTGAGGATATTGATGGGTGAGGGATATTGATGGGTGAGTGATATTGATGGGTGAGGATATTGATGGGTGAGGGATATTGATGGGTGAGGGATATTGATGGGTGAGGATATTGATGGGTGAGGGATATTGATGGGTGAGGAATATTGATGGGTGAGGAATATTGATGTGGGTGAGTGATATTGATGGGTGAGGGATATTGATGGGTGAGGATATTGATGGGTGAGGGATATTGATCGGTGAGGGATATTGATGGGTGAGGAATATTGATGTGGGTGAGGATATTGATGGGTGAGGGATATTGATGGGTGAGGAATATTGATGGGTGAGGAATATTGATGTGGGTGAGGATATTGATGGGTGAGGGATATTGATGGGTGAGGATATTGATGGGTGAGGATATTGATGGGTGAGGGATATTGATGGGTGAGGGCTATTGATGGGTGAGGGATATTGATGGGTGAGGGATATTGATGGGTGAGGATATTGATGGGTGAGTGATATTGATGGGTGAGGATATTGATGGGTGAGGATATTGATGGGTGAGGGATATTGATGGGTGAGGATATTGATGGGTGAGGATATTGATGGGTGAGGGATATTGATAGGTGAGGGCTATTGATGTGGATGAGTGATATTGATGTGAGGCATATTGATTGATGAGTGATATTGGGAGGTGGGGGGCAGCGTTCGTCGTGTGCCACCGTGTCTCCCATCAATAATTGAACAGCCTCTATAGGGACTCGTGGCTACTCGACATGGGGTCT